ATGTGTATTCTGCTCTTTTAATGTGGAACATTCCAAATATATCTGTTAGATCCATCTGGTCCAATGTGTCATTCAAAGCCTCCGTGTCCTTGTTGATTTTCCATTTGGATGATGCATACATTGATGTGAGTGGGGTGTTCAAGTCCCCACTATTATTGCATTACTATCAGTTACCTCCTTTATGTTTGTTACCAGCTGCTTCACGTGTTTGGGTGCCTTCCTGTTGGGTGCATAAATATCTACAATTGTATCTTCTTGTTGGATTGTTCCCTTTATGCTTATGTACAGACACACAAATTTAAAATACCTGTTAGTCACCCAAAGGAGATGTTGAAAACACAGTTCACTATGAGGGTCTGGAGATAGAAAGTTGGGTTTCTAAGCATATCAGCATGGCAGGTGGAGATCATCAAGGGGATAAGTGTCACCAGACAGGAGCCAGCTGGGACCCACTCACGGAGTGTCTATGAGGTGACCCGGCCTGTTGCTGGGTGTCTACTCCCAATACAGGTTCTGGAGCTGGGGGATAACCCCCGTCCAACAGATGGGTTTGGAGAAGACTCACTGGACCCACTGGGAGCTGGACCACAGCTAACCCCAATCATCACCTGACCACTAAAAGCCTCTGCTCCAGCAGGCAGGTGGCCGTGACATGTGGGTCTCCTGGAATCAGCCTCAGTTCTGAGCCAGTGTCTAATAAAACCAGAAAACTATGATTATTTCCTTTTCCCCAGTTCATGTCACCTGATAAAGGCTGTGAGTTCCTTTGGAGAAGGCTGGGAGAGAAGTGAACATATGTATTTTTAGCAGTATGGCAGGGTCCTTTCCTTTTTTTTTTTTCAAAATGTTTTATTTATTTTCTGAAAGAGAGAGAGACAGCTGTGAGCAGGGGAGGGTCAGAGAGAGAGAGACACACACAGAATCTAAAGCAGGCTCCAGGCTCTGAGCTGGCTGTCAGCATAGAGAACAACGCGGGGCTCAAACCCACGAACTGTGAGATCATGACCTGAGCCGAAGTCAGACGCTTGACCGACTGAGCCACCCAGGCACCCCTGGCAGGGTCTTTTCCTAAGAGGACCTCATTGCCCATTTTTCTAGGAAGTTTACAAGCCTTTTGCCAAACACAGCCATGACAGTATTTAAAATTAAACTGGATATACTTACAATTAAATAAATTATATTTATTTTTACTTAATTAAAAAATTTTAAATGTTTTTATTCATTTTTTGAGAATGAATAAGAGTCACAGAGAGAGACTGTGAGAGGGGGAGGGGCAGAGAGAGAGGGAGACACAGAATCGGAAGCAGGCTCCAGGCTCTGAGCTGTCAGCACAGAGCCCAATGTGGGGCTCAAACCCACGAACTGTGAGATCATGACCTGAGCGAAAGTTTGCTGCTTAACCAACTGAGCTGCCCAGGCTCCCCATAATAAATTATACTTAAAACAATAGTAATAACTCAAAACACACTGCTTCCTTACTATGTTACCACACTCTACCGTAATCTATGCTCTGAGATCATTCAACTCTGTAACCAGTTACATATCATGTGTGATTACGCATTTCTTTGCAACTCTGAGTTAATTGATGTTGCATTGACACCTTGAATTTGGTGGCTGGTGGAAGCCTCTATACCAAAGAAATTGGGAAAGGCTACAAACCAGGACTCACATTTATTGCTTTATTGATGAAGACTGAGCCACCCAGGTGCCCTCCTTCCATTTTTCTTGAACACAAATGGACATATCGATCCACAATTATGTCCCGTATCAGATTTTCATGACAACACATTTATTGGGGAAAGAATTAGCAAATTGGGACACAACTCTGCTTGTGGAATTGTGGCTGAATTGCAGCTATGGTTTGGCTGCGGTTGTGAGAGGCATTCTGTAAGAATCAGGGGGATTTATGGAATTTAAAAGTAATTTTACGACGAAGACTAATGTATATTGTACTATCATTAATGTAGTGTATGCTACACATCATTTGTATCAGTAAAATTAGTTATGACCATAAATATATGCACACACATGCACCTTCACCTGCTGGTGGTTAGTGGGGGCCAGAATGTCACCGCCTGGGGTCCTGTGCCGTTAGGAGGTCAGGGCAGAAAAGGAGAAGTCTGGGAGAGGAGAGGAGAGCCTCATGTCTCAGAGGCCAAGAGGGAACTATTTCAAGGATTTCAAGGACATCTGAGCATCCAGGTCAGATGCCCCTGATGGGTCTCAAGAGGAAGAAGAGAAAGGACCTGTGGATTTGGAAACAGCAGAGGAGAGCCTGATTAGTGGCCAGTTACAGGGACCACAGGGAGGCAGAATCGGACAGCGAGCACTCACAACTGAGGCGTTTTCCTGTAAAGGAGCTGAAGAGACAAAGGCATGGGTGTCCAAGCTGTCACCTCCTACCCGTCCACCTCAGGAAGATGGGTCGTAGAAACGGAGTGGCCCAGTCCTGTCCCCATCTTGAGCACCAGGTCATTCTAGTGCCACACACAAGTTCAACTCGGACATCAGAATGAGGAGCCCAGACTCCAAAGCCTGGCCTCAGGGCTCAGAGCTGGAACCCTTATCTGGGAGCTTGGGACCAAAGCCCTGAGCCCAGCGCCCAGGAGATGGAGCCCCCAAATAGGCCTGAAACCCTAGCCCTTCCCTCCCCAGCTGCCCAGCCCCCAGAGATGTTGTAAGGCTGCTGGACAGTGACAAAGGAACTTGAGGACAGCGATCGATTGAGAATCTGGGTGGGCTGCGGTCAGCTGTGTGGATGCAGGTGCGGGTTGGGGAGAGAGGGTGTTGGACAGGGGCTGGGGCGGCGCTTGGGCAGCCTGAAGGAGGGGAAGGAGCACAGAGAGCCGGGCGGTGCCAAGGAGTGACTGTGACCCAGGCTAGGGACTCTAAGCCTATGAAGGGGAGAGAGAACAGGAAGGCCCAGGCCGCCCAGGGGGACAGTGGGGGCTCACCTTCGGTGCTTACATGTCTTGCTAGAGGGGGGGCTTGATGAGGGCTTGTTGGGGGCTTGATGGGGTGGTGTGTTAGGGAGTGAGCTGGCAGGTGAGCAGGAGGAATTCCCGGGCTGCTGATAGTTGGGGGAGGAGGGGGTTGTGGTGGGCGCGGTTCTTGGTGATGACAAAACCCAGGGTCCTCCCTGGGGGAGGGTGGAGGACAGGATCCCGGAGAAGGAGATCAGGCACAGAGGCGCCCAGAGCTGGCCCATCACCCACACGGCTACTGAAACTGCAAGGAGCACTGGAGATTGGTGGCGGGCGCTGGCCCCCTCCAGGAATGAGTGCAGAGTGACGATGGTCTGGAAGTGACAGGGAGGAGCACGCAGGACCCCCTCCCACCTCTGGGCACAGTGGTGGGGGTAGCAGGTTTCTGAGGCGGCGGGAAGGTCAGGGAAACAGTCTGGGTCTGGGAGTGGGGGCAGATGGCACACGGGGTCAGATTAGAAGATGGGCATCTGGGGTCCTTGGGTTCCTACGGTAACTGATTAAACAAGGACGAAGGGCATGCGAGATGGGGGGCCCTGAAGTTGCCAAGTCTCCCGGGATGAGTGGGGGCAGCGGGGGCGGGTCTCTTCTCTGCCCTGTCTGCATCTGAAATGAGGAGAGCAATAACTGCTTTGAGGGCCGTGCTGAGCAGCACAGAGCCAGGCCTGCGGGGGACTTGGGGTTCTTGTAACTATGACCCCATCACCATTGTCGGCGGAGGCACAGGGGACCGTGGTGGGGGGTTCAGAGGGGTGTCTGGTTTCTCCAGAGGGTTTATGATCTGGGTGGGTTCTCAGCAGTTCAGGAAAGGATAGAGGCAGGACCCTTCTGGCCCAGCATCTTTGCAGTCAGGTGGGCATCTGCAAGTGGACTTGACCTTGAGCCTTGAGGCTGATGGCTCTGTCCAGGGGAATGTCAGGTGAGAAGGAGGGACACTCAGGGGAGGGAAAAACACTGACAACCTCCCCTCTAGGGTATGGGCTCCACACGGCCAAGGGCCTTATGGAATCCCGGGGCCCAGCTATCAGAGCCGAGTGAGAGGGACGGGGTGGAGGGGGAGAAGGTGGGCGCAACGTGCAGCATTAAATGGAGTGATGGGGGGGTCACTGAGAAGGTGACCTTTAAGCAGAACCCTGAAGAGGGTAAGGGAATGAGCCGTGTGGATTATCTGGGGGAAGAGCATTCTATGCAGAGGAAACGGTCAGTACAAAGGCCCTGAGGCGGGACAGACTGGCAGCTTCCTGGGAAGCTGGGAGGTCAATGTGGCTGGAGCAGAGAGGATGGGGGGGGGGCACGGTGGGGAGGAGAAGGTCAGGGAGGGGGCAGGGGGCACATCACAGAGGGCCTGGCAAGCCACTGTGAGGCCTGTGCCTTCTACTGAGTGGGGCAGGAATCACTGCTTCTGAGCGAAGGAAGAGCACAGCCTGCGTGCTGTGTGCAGAACAGAGGGGACAGGTGGGTCCAGGGAGGCCCGGAGGGGGCTGCCCGGCCATCAGGTGGTGGCGGTACAGGTGGTGAGAGGTGGACGGCCAAGCGAGTGCGCTGTTGGGTTGGAGAATTTGCAAGTATCAGAACGGGAAGCCCTGGGGTGGGGGTGGGGCATCCAGAGGGTCCCGTTTCTGCTCCCTGGAGCCTCGGGACCACTGTCAGGGGAGGGGGTTAAACGCCATGACTCAGCTCCATGCCCCGCTGCCTCTCCTCTGTCTTCTGTCCTGGATGCCACACGAGGTCCCCTTCAGGGCCCTGCCGCTAGAGCCAGCGCTCTGCTCCCACTCCCCGGGTTACAGACGGGGAGACTGAGGCCAGAGAAGGAGGCGCCCGGGGTGGGTCCCGTGGGAATCCGAGAGCTGGGCTGGATGGAGACCAGGCTTCCTGGTGCGCAGCGGGGCTGGTCTTCTGGCTGGCGGCGGGTTAGGGGTGCTGAGGTTTGTGTCCCTTGGCTGCTCTGGTCCCCAGCACCCCACTGCCGCCTCTCTCCTGAGTCCCCTGGAACCTTCCCTGTCTCCTTTCTGTCAGCGACGTGCCCCAGGATGCCGAGAGCTTCGCGGTTTCTGGGAGCTCCGGCGTGGAGGTTTCCATGGCCTATGACCCAGCACGGGTGACAGTGCCCCCAGGCAAGACCCGCTGGCCCCTGGACGCCAATGTGGACGTGACCATATCCGTGGACGCCGCCAGTAAGGACTTACACGATTTCAAGGTAAGGGACCCCCGGCTCTACAGTCAGGGGCTGCGGCTCCCAACCCCACCCAAGCATAACCCTATTCACACATCACCCTCGCACACCTCCATCCGCATTGCGCCTCCTGATACAGGCAGGCCCACCCTGCGGTGCAACATCCCACGCACACGCGCGCAAAGTGACACGTACACACGAATGAATACGCCCGTAAAGACAGCCGCCTAGGCATCCCCCCAAGTTCACAGGCACCTCCACATTAATCCCTGTGTTCGACCTGCACACAGACCCTAAAACAAGCCCCCGCAGCGGGCAGGGCTCTGTAGCAGCACCCGGGCACACGCATGCGCGCAGACGCAAGTGCCCACCAGAATCCGCATGCGTCCCCGAGCTAAGGAAGAAGAAAGGCATGAAAGGCATCTCTTTCACGGACCACACCCTTGTCACTCGCCCCCAGGCACCCACCGCACACACACTGACCAAGGCCCTTTCTCCCCCGACAGGGAAGGGACAGAGACTGTGAAGCTGTTTTCCCCCCTCCCCCCCCAAGAGGAGGGGCCCTGGAGCCCGTCTTGGGTTCAAATCCTACCTCCTCTGCTTCCTAGCTGCATGCCTGCAGGCAGGGCCCAGAATGGCCTCCCTGTGAATGGATGGGGACTTCCTGCGAATGGGCCGGGGCTCCTGGGGCCATCTTGGGAGCTCAGTGAGAGGGCCTGGGCTCTGGACCATGGGAAAAGCTGTGACCATTGGCCTTTATCAGGGGGATGTCCTGTGGTCATCGTTCCCATTTTACAGATGAAGAAACAGAAGCCTAGACAGGCTGAGTAACTTGCCTAAGTCAATGGCGTCAGCTCTGCCTTCCCTCCTTCTTCCTGTTCGATGTCTCCATGGGTTCCCGAGGGCTTAGCTGCGCCCTCTGGGATGCGCCCCATGCCCAACCCTCCCTGCTCTTTGGCCCAGCCCTGGACCAGGGAGGCACCCACATCCTCTCTAGCCGGGGAAGGGAGCCCGGAGTCCAAGCCAGGACACTGTGAATCTTGGACCTTCTGCAGCGGGGAGTGCCTTGGGATGCTCAGGCGTCCCCACCTGTAAGCAGGGACTGTCGAGGTCCCCCCTCATCCCCCTGTCTCTGCCATCTCTGAAGGGGTGGCTGTGCTGGCTCAGGGCTGATGATGTCCCCACAGGTGAAGGTCTCCTACTTCGGGCAGCAGGAGGCTGGTGCCCTGGGCCACAGCGTGCTCTACCTCACCGGTGTCGGTGAGTACTGCCCCCCTCTCCCCGGCTCCTCGTTCATGCCCGCCCCCCCTCCATGTTGCCCACCTAAGGGTCTTAGGGGAGCGCCCAAGTGCAAGGCCGTGGCCTTCTTCCTCCACCATCAAGGGGCTTCTCCAGAGGCCTTCCATTTGTCTAGAACCTCAGGGACAGGGACCCAGCAATACTCAGGGCCACTGGAATCTAGAAACTGCACTGCCCACAGGTCATCAGCTAGACCCACACTAGGCCCCCTTCCTCTGGAGTCCCCACGTCACACCACTGGAACGCCAGGACCCCTTCGAAACCTCAGAGAGCCACGGGCCACCTTCAGCCCGAGCCCTGGCGGCTCCGAGAGCCACAGAGCCGGCACCGAGAACCTCAGGCCCCGTCCCCACTGCCAGAGGCAGGGCCGCCCAGGCATTCCGGTCCCCAGAGCAGGTCTCCTAGGGTCTCATGGGCAGAGCTTGCCTCGGCCTGGGTGTCACGGACGTGAAGACAGGACCTCGTGAGGCCCTGGCAGCCCCTCTCCATCCCTTTCCAGACATCTCCCTGGACGTCGACACGGGTCGTACAGGCAAGCTGAAGAGGAGCCATGGCGACAAGGTGACAGTCTCCAGGTTCTCCCCCTCCCCCCCCCTCGGATGGCACAGTTGACACGCAAACCCAGGGGTGGTGGGTCCCAGGGGCTGCCGTAGCAGACAACGCAGGGGACCCATTTGGGGACCTGCCGAAAGGGCCTGGGTGGGTGTCACTTGCACCGTGCGATCGATATGCTGTGTGAATCCCGTGAGATCTGAGCCTTGCTTGTGCCATTTTGGAATTGGGGTTGGCTCTTTTGCTCGATGCCTCTTCTACTTCCTGGGGTGTATGTGGACCCCCAAACATGGTAGGTGATTCGTAATAGGTTCTTGAGTGATTGACTGAAGGCTTCCGATAGAGGAGGCTGCGTGGACAGCCTCAGTTAGACCCCAGAGAGTGAGGAGGAGGGTGGGTGGGCTCGAGACATTACCACAGGGCAAGCATCTGGAAGCCATCCTGGAAGGGTCGAAGGTATAAATTATAGGGAAAGACCCAAGAGAGAAAGCCCGGACCACAGGACAGATTTGAGGACAAGATGGGGAAGGGTAGCCATGGATGGCCGTGCAGGTTGTTCACTGCACAAGGTTGCTTGGCTAAGTGGGTGAGTGGGGCTATGATACAAATTATGACTTGTGCCCCAGCACAGGGAAGCATTTACCCAGAACGGTGGGCAGGAGTGTCCTATGGGCTAGCAGGGGCCCTCTGAAGTCCCGCAGGTGAATTTGAATCCCTACTATGGGACTTAGGGGTCATTTCCCAGAGCCTTTCTTTCCTTTCTGTGAAATGGGGCAAGTGAGCCCTGCCTTGTGGGGTCGGGTGGGCATTATGTAGAGGTGTGTAGGGAGAGCTGCAATCAGAGGCAGGGCTTTAGCTCTCTTTCCCACCTCAGCTTAGACCTCTCTGCAGGGTCTGCAGGCCTGAGGGTAGGTGCCAGAGATGTCTAGGGGACAGGGCCCAGGAGAGTGCTGAGACGGAGAGCTTCTCTGGGACTGTCCAGCCCCGTCAGGGTCAGGGGGAGGTAGCTCTGTCCCCCAGGCACTGGTGAAGGTTGTTTCTGGATGTGGGACACCACCCTTCCTCCTCCAGTGGGATGGCTGAGTGAAGGGTGTATGGTTGCACAGGTTGTTCACTATGCAAGAGTGGGGTGGTTCTGGGTCTAGACACTGGAGCTCCAATCCCCAAATCTATGGTCCCTCTTTAAATGTGTAAGCAAACCCAGAATGCAGAAGTCTCCGTGTTAGCAGAGCAGCCATCCCCAGGCTGCTCCAAGCCCCTTCCCAGGCCCTCTGGGTCCCACTGACCCCCAAGTCTCTTGTTTTGCCGCAGAAAACCTGGCGCTGGGGCCCTGAGGGCTATGGGGCTGTCCTGCTGGTGAACTGTGACCGGGACAGTGCCGTGTCCGGGGGGCCCGACCTCACCAGCAGCCAGCTGGCGTCACTGGATGGTGTGTGACGGGGGTGGGTGGGGGTAGAGGCTTGGGGGGTGGGGTGCAGGGAGAGTTGCCTCCAGGGTGCCCATCTCTTCAGACTTGCAGGACATGTCCCCCATGGTGCTGAGCTGCGACGGCCCAGACAGCCTCTTCGACAGCCACAAGCTGGTCTTGGATGTGCCGTTTTCCGATTCCAAAAGAGTGGGGGTCTTCTGTGCCAGGGGTGAGTGGTCTGCTGGGGGCGCTCTCCTCCCTGCTCCACTCGTTCTCTGCTTCCCAAGCTCTTTTCTTCTCTTATCCACATCCCCACTACCTTCCAGCATCTTCCACAACTCTCTCTGCCGCTGACCAACAGCCTCTCCAGCAGTTCACAGCGTGTTACCTAAGGAGGAGGTTCGGAAATGGGCCCCATTTTACAGAGGGGGCCAACTGAGGCTCAGACGAGCGAACCCACTATCTCCAGGTCACACAGCCAGCTGGGGATGGAGCAGGCATTCAAACCCAGGCCTCTGAACCGCCCAAGCCCCTCCTCTGTCTACTGCCCACCCCCTCCTCTGGTCAGTCGGCTTGGCATGAGCCCTTGACGTACCAGCAGCTCTGTGCAGGCTGGGCGAGGAAGGAGGGGGAACTGGCGAAGCTGAGGCCCAGGCCCGGCCTCAGAACCCGGCTGTTCTGCCGGAGATGTTAGTAATCAAAGTCTGTGGCTTAAAAAATATGTGTACACGCACCCTTGACCCTGAGCTGCCTTTACGCATTCTTGTAAACAGCAAGAGGCCTCTCCTGTTCCCCTGCCTCTTCCTCCTCACCGTCCTCTGTTCAAACTGACCCAGAACTCGTCGTTCTGGCTACACGAGCCTGGCAGGAGCCAGAATGTTCCTCCTCATGCCCCACTGCTGGAAGCTTAGGCAGATGGCCCGCTTGGAAACACTTACTGTGATCAGAATGTAAGCAAAATCTCAATCAGATAACTGCTCCTGCTGTGAATAATGCCGGGGGGACATTTCCCAGCCACCCTCAGGGGGACAGAGGGGGCAGGACAGAAGTACTGAGGGTCAGGCGCTTTGAAAAATAAATGAAGGTGGGGGCGCCTGGGTGGCTCAGTGGTTAAGCATCCGACTTTGGCTCAGGTCACGGTCTCGCGGTTTTTGGATTCAAGCCCCGCGTCGGGCTCTGTGCTGACAGCTCTGAGCCTGGAGCTGCTTCCGATTCTGTGTCTCCCTCTCTCTCTGCCCCTCCCTCACTCGCTTCCCCCTTCCTCCCAACAAATGAATAAACATTAAAAAAATTAAAAGTAAATAAATAGATGAAGGTGAAATTCACGTAACATAAGATGAACCGTTTGAAAGTGGGTACTTCGGTGGCACTGAGCACATCGTCACTACTGTGCGAACACCGCCTTCATCTAGTTCCAAGACAGTGGCGTCACCCCCAAGTAAAACCTCATACTTCTCAGCTGTCACCCCCCAGCCCCTGCCCCCAGTCCTGGGCAGCCACTGACCCGCTGCCTGTCCCCATGGATCTACCAGTGTTGGACAGTGTGTGGCCTTTTGTGTCTGGCTTTTCACTCAACAAAGTATTTTCAAGGTTCTCCCACATCGTAGAAGGTGTCTGCACCTCCTTCCTTTTTCTTCACTTTTTGTGCCGGCTGCTTTTATCTCTGAATCTGACGTACAGCTTACACGGCCCCACGAGATGCAGTTAGCCCATTTTACAGATGAGGAACTGAGGCTCAGAGAGGTTGAGTCATGGAGCCAAGGTCATACAGCTTGCGTGTGGCAGAGCTCGGGAGGGGCGGCCGAGTAGATCTTACGGGGAGGTGGCTCGCCCTGGCTTGCTGGCCTCCTGGCCTCTGCTTTCCTTCCTCCCGTCCTCTGTCCCAGCGCGGCTCCCGACTCTGGCTCCCCTAGGTGGGCATTCCCTCGAGGACTACAAGCAGGTGCTGGGGCCTCAGCGTCTGTCCTACGAAGTAGAGCGGCAGCCAGGGGAGCGGAAGATCAGCTTCTTTGTGGAGGGACTCGCCTTCCCCGATGCTGACTTCTCGGGGCTCGTCTCCCTCAGTGTCAGCCTGGTGGACATGGGGGTAGGTAGCATGTTGGCGGCCGGGCTGGGGGCTGGGGGATCTTGAGGCCCGATGGGGCTCCCCGCAGGGCCCACTCAGTCCTCATTTTGCCCCCAGACCCTGCCTGAGGTGCCCCTCTTCACAGACACCGTGGTCTTCCGCGTGGCCCCCTGGATCATGACCCCCAACACCCAGCCCCCCCTGGAGCTGTATGTGTGCAGGTGAGGCCTCCCCCCTCCTTCTAGCTACCATCTCTGGACCCACAGAGACAGACCAGGAGTCCGTGTCCAGGGCTGGGCCCTCACTCACTGGAAGGATTCACTAAGGGCACCCGTGGGCGCAGGCTGGGTATGGGAGAGCAGCAGGCAGGCTCGGGCTGGTCAGGTAAGGCCCCAGCTGAGGTCACCGGCTCAAGCTTCAGCCCCCTGCCTCGACGCTGTCCGGCCCGTAGCAGCCCCAGCGCAGCGTGGCTTTAGTCTGGGCACCGAGGCCAAGCCCCATTCAGGCAGGCGTGCTGGCCTCAGTCTGGCCTGGGGGGCTGGGGGGCTGCGGGGAACGCGGGACCCGGCCGCCGAATCTGCCTTGAGCCCTGGCCCAGCCTGGGACCCGCGTCCTTCTGCCGTGGCCCAGAATCCTCATCAGGCCCCTTGAAGGACAAGTGGGCCTTGATGGGGGAAGCCACTGGGGCCCCTGCGTCTGCGGTCAGACCAGTGGCAAGGGCACAGCTGACGTGAAGCGTAAGTCACAAGGCCGGGATGGTGGAGAGAAACAGGTGTGTCCACAGGTGCTCCCTTACCCACCCTGGTTCCTTTGTGTGGGCCAAGGGGCAGGAGTGGGGGGGCTCCCTGTCCCCTGGCAGTCACCTTAACCCAGTCCCCAGGCCACCTCCTCCATGGCGGCCCCTCCTTCCCCCCCGCCCCCTCCCCCCAACTTTGGTGGCCTGCCTTTGGGCTCCACCCACCTGGGCTTGCCCCTCCCCCTGCGCCTTCCACCTGATATGATCCGGGGACATCATCTCTCTTCTCTGGGGGGGGCTGTGTTTGAACCCCTAAACCCAGTTTAGGCCACATGGGGCCCAGCCCAGACTGGGCCAAGGCCATGGTTAGAGGTCACCATCACGTTCCCCTCCCCCTGTGCTTTGCAGTGTGGTAGACTCTCATGGCTCAAATAAGAAATTTCTGGAAGACATGTCTGACCTCGCATTGAAAGCCAGCTGTAAGCTGATCGTCTGCCCGCGGATTGAAAATAGAAATGACCGCTGGATCCAGGTGGGTGTGGGAGCAGGCCTGGGGGCCCCGTCCTTCACCCTGACTCTGGGAGGTGAGGCCTGCACAGCCTCAGTCTCCCTAGAGAAGCCAGGGCTTGTCAGGGCAGAGGGCGGGGGGTGGGTAGGGGGGCGAGGCACAGGTGGCTTCGGAAACGCTGCCCCACTGCCTGTGTCACTCCAGGCTCCCCCGTTTCCCCCAGATGCTCGGGTCCCAGACAGAGGCCTCTCCCAGCTGGGGTCCTGGGAAGCCTCACCTCCACCCCTGGCCCCTGTGCCACCAGTGCTTGGGGAAGATCCGTGGCACTGCCCTGGGCCAGGTCTGGAGGGGGGATCACGGTGTCAGGAAGACCATGCCGGGGGCACCGCTGTGATGGCCTCCTCTCCCCTCCTAGGACGAGATGGAGTTTGGCTACACCACAGCCCCTCACAAGTCCTTCCCGGTGGTCTTTGACTCCCCCCGAAACAGAGGCCTGAAGGATTTCCCCTACAAGCGGATCCTGGTGTGTGGCACGGGGCAGCGTGGGGGTCCCTCGGGCGGCTCTGTAACAGGACCTGTCACCACAGGACCCTATAATCAGTCTTCCCTGATCCTGGTCCTTTCAAGGGGCAGAAGGACACAGGTGGTGGGGAAATGGGGAGTCCGTGGGGGCATTGGGACGGAATATGCAAATGAGATGCAAACAACATGCAAATCCTCCCTGTTCCGGGCGGGGCAGGCCAGCAAAGTGGTCCTGGGGGGCCCTTCTCCCCCAAGGGGGAGTCAACAGAAGGGTCAGCCCTGGGGACACCAAACTGCCTTATGGGGGAAATGCACCGTTAGTGGGCCCTCATCACTCTTGCTTTTACCAGGTGGGGCCTCTTTGTGGGTAACAAATGTTTTCTGAACACCTACTGCGTGCCGGGCCCCATGCTGCCTCCTATGCACAGGGTGGGGACAAAAGTAGCCCCAGAAACCGTGTGCTGGGTTCCAGGCATGCGGCCCTGGCTTTACATGGTCACTCATCAATCCAGAGTCCTGTGGATAGCTGCTGTCTTTATCCCCTCTTTCCCGAGACTCAGAGAGGTTAAGTAACTGACCCCCAGGCCACACAGCTAGTGGCACCAAGAGGCAAAACCAGAAGGGCTGTCTCCACAGCCCTATTGCTAGGCTGACCAGCCTCTCGAGGTGGTCCTAAGGCTTGCAGCCCACCATCTCTGCCTGTTTATCGCCTCCCACACCCCCACCGGCGGCACAATGCCTGTGTTAGGGTGGGGGCAGGGAGGGGGTGCCCGGGTGCCGTGGGCGCACAGAGCAAGGGCATGTACCTCAGCCTGGAGGGGCCAGGGACCCATCCCAGCGCAAGTAATAACGAGCCCTGTGGGATGAGTCTGCATCAACCAAGGGCTTGACCCCAAGCCCAGACTTGACCTGGCTGGGTATCGGTCACTGATCTCTGCCCTCATCTTTTTTTTTTAATGTTTATTTATTTTCGAGAGAGACAGAGACAGAGAGCAAGCAGGGGAGGGTCAGAGAGAGAGAGGGAGACACAGAATCCAAAGAAGGCTCAGAGCCTGACACGGGGCTCGAACTCACGAGCCTCAAGATCATGACCTGAGCCGAAGTTGGATGCTTAACTGACTGAGCCACCCAGCCGCCCCTAGAATCTTGCCAAGTTTCCACCTGGCTTTCTTCTTTGACCTACGCGTTCTTCAGAGGCGTGTTGCCTGATCTCTCAGCCTCTGGGGATTTTCTAGTCATCCCTTTGTGGACTTGGACTTGAATCTCACCCCCCACCCCCTGCCAAGAGCTGTTGCCTCCTGTCCTAACCGACCCCTCCTTCCGGGGCTGGGGGCTTGCTGGTCCTCCCCTAGGGTCCCGACTTTGGATATGTAACCCGGGAGATCAAGTTCGCGGGCGCCTCCAGCCTTGACTCTTTCGGCAACCTGGACGTCAGCCCGCCCGTCACGGTGGGCGGCAAGGAGTACCCGCTGGGCCGGATCCTCATCGGCGGCAGCTTCCCCAGGTGAGGGGCCCTGGCGGGGGCGGGGGCGTGGGCACCGTCGCACCTCCGGGTCTCCAGTCCCAGAGGTGGCCTTAACTGCCCCGCTCAGTCCTGGAGTCAGAGACTCACAGTCACGGGATATTAGATTGAAAAGGTCATAGAATCTTTGGAGAAAACTCACCAGCTGGCGACCCCCAGCCTATGGGCCCGCCTGGCATTTCGTGAGCTTAATTAGTCCCCACCTCCGTGTGTATGGGGAGGCCTTCCATAAAAACCCAGACCTTCTGCTTCTTTAGAAACACCGGGGTTCTGGGGACGTGTCATGCCATCTGGCACAGAGGCAGGAGATGGACAGGTTGACCTCTCCCAGCAGGAGGTCAAAATAGCTGCTGTTCCAGCAATAGCTTAAAAAGCCTGGGGGGCACCATGTGGCTCCCGGTGAATGAGTGGCTGGTCAGGACACCGGGGTGACAGAGGTGACTTGGCGGGTGCCACCCTGGACAGCTGTCATCAGGCAGGAAACAGGTACATAGGATTTAGTGCTCAGGAAGGTGACCCCACGTGCTAAATCCGGCGGACCGGGTCCCCACCCTAACGGGGTGTGCAGTGCGGAGATCCCGGTGGGAGCCTCTGCCTCCACCCGGAGGTTAAGCCAGCCACGGGCGCCAGAGCCGCCTTCTCATTTGTGTGGGGTCGGCATGGAAACCAGGTGAGCCCCAGCCTGCCCCCCAGCCTGCCCCCCAGCCTGCCCCCCAGGCTGCCCCCCAAGCCTGCCCCTCCAGACTCCCCCCCCTCCCCCCGGCCCCCCGGGCCCTCACTGACTATCTAGAGCAGCCAGGCGGTCACAGGAAAGCCACCCAGCCTCAAGCGCCGACCCTGGCGGCCTCAGGGCTCCAGATCAGGTGAGGCGAGGTTCCCTGGCACCAACCCCGGGCACGTAGCTGGGTGCCCGGGGCCACAGTCGGCTACAACAGGAGTGTTCACCTTGCTGGCGACTCAGGCTCAGGTGCTACTCTGCGATCTGATCCGATCCTGCCCACAGCCCTGGACGTGGGAGGCCGTTGGGGCCTCCGGGTGGGCTGCGGGGAGGGACCCAGGAGGGAGGGGCAGGGGCTCTGGGGCACGGCTGGACTCGGGTTCAAGTGCTGACTCTGCTGTATGCTAGCCGTGTGGTTTTGGGCATACCGCTTAAGCAGTGCTTACTAGAGTGCCTGGCACACAGTAGGCGCTCAACTAATTCATTTGAAGCTATTTTTTTCATGCCTATGTGCCAGGCACTCCTGAAGATATTAGAGTTGGATATACATCAGTGCACAGCAGATACGTTGTGAAATGAACACATTATTTTACAGTCCATGCCTCAGTTTCCTCATCTGTGTAATGGGCCTATTACAAATCTCTGGGCTGGCTACATAAACAGCACTAGTGGAAATAAAGAATTCATGTTAACCACCTTAGGGATTGCTTAGCTGGGCCCCCAGCAGGGAGTCTGTTTGGAAGCAGGTTGGAACTTATTGGACAAAAGTTATCGATCATCTATTATGTGCCACGAACATAAGTGTTTTACCCAGGTTACCTCATTTAAGTCTTAGAACAGTCCTATGGGGTTGGGATAATTATTATTCCCATTTTACAGATGAGGAAGCTGAGGCTCAGAAAAGTGAAGTGAGTGCACTCGTTCATGCGTTCACTTGCCGATTCAGTAAATATTTACCGGGACTTCCCATATGGCAGGTCTGCAGACCTAAATAAAAGAAATAGTCTAGAAGCTCCCAGGGTCAGAGCAGGGACTAGGGATGGGACAGTGGGGGCCTCCAGTGCAGCTGTGACCCAGTCCACTGACCATTGTGTTGAGAACACAGGAACAAGGTCCTTAGTAAACAGAAGGGGTCCTGAGGCTCAGAGAGGGACCGCTACTGCCTAAGACCACACAGCAAGTTAGTGGTAGAGTCAGAACCCAGGTTTCCTCCCTGGACTCCAGACAAATTTAACACTTGGTCCTGTCTTGGCCTCTTTCTGACTCGGCAGTGAACAAGTCATTCTACCAAGGAGAAACGGACAATAAACAAACCCAACAAATAAGTAGATAACATAGCCTGTTAGGGAAAGGAAGCCCTGGTGAGAAACCGACACTTAAACAAAGTCCTGAGGGAAGCGAGGGAGTCAAAGATGTGGGTATTTGGGAGGAAAATGTGCAAAGGAGTGGAAATGGCCAGTGTGAAGGCCCTGAGGCAGGAGTGTGGAAGAGACATAAGAGGAGCAACACAGAGTTCCTGGGGGCTGGAACAGAGTGGGCATGAGCAAGGAAGGGCCTGATGGGCCCTCTCTGCTCAGAGAGCTGAGCAGTGCAGAATTCAGATCGTGACCTGGGCCTGTTATTTGTATGTACATCATAGGGGAATCATGGAGATTAAGCAAGACACTTAGTGCGAGGAGCCTCAGGCAGGCACACACTAGGTGCTAAATAAGTGGTCCATTTTCTGCTTGCTTGAGTTCTTCACACTCCGCTCCCCACATCTAAAAATCATCTTTGAGCAATTCTGCCCCCTAGTGGTGGCTTCGATGTGACTTGGAGAGCAGGGCGGACGCCTCCCAGGGCTTGGTCTGGTGCAGGGCGGGGTCTCCCCCCCCCCCAGCCTCCAGGCTGCAGGCCGCAGAGCTCGGGCCCCTGCACCTTCCATCACGCGTTTCTGATGCCACTCTGTGCTCATGAGAAGCTTCTGGAGGCTAACGCTTCTCCACCATCTTGGCGTGTTTAAGAAATGTTTTTAGGGGCGCCTGGGTGGCTTAGTCGGTCAAGCGTCCGACTTTCGCTTAGGTCATGATCTCGCGGTTCGTGGGTTCGAGCCCCGCGTCGGGCTCTGTGCTGACTGCAGCTCAGAGCCTGGAGCCTGTTTCAGTCTGTGACTCCCCCTCTCTCTGACCCTCCCCTGCTCACGCGCTCTCTCTCTCTCCTAGAAATAAATAAAAATATTAAAAAAAAAAAAAGAAATGTTTTTAAATTGCCAGCAGTGTATTTAACATAACAGAAATACAAGAAAAATATTTCCCACACTCCTATCTCCCAAGTCAAATCAGTGTTGTCATTTGTCACTGCTTGTCAGGTCTCCCTTCTAGACATTGTCTGTAATAACTTTGAGTGATAGAGACAAGGGACTATTACACAGCTGCTCAAAAGTATTTTTTTAAAGCATCTTTTAAAAAAGCCGTTCAAAATCATATCATTCGCAATTGCTTTTTGAGCCTCTCTTATGTAAGAGGTGCCAGGGACACAGCAGTGAACAGAGACAAAATCCCAGCCCACCTGGAGCTTACATTCTGGTGGGATGCCAGGCAATAAAGGAGATCTCAAATATGCCAGATAGTACCAAATGCTCTAAAGAACAATAAATCTAGGAAGGGGATTGAGAGATTGTTGTAATTTTCAAAGGGCTCGTAGAAAAAGAAGGTGACATTTGAGGCAGACCTGAAGAGAGGTGGGAGGGAGCCAGGAGAGGTGGGGAGCGGGCAACGATTCCCGGTACCGAGAATGGCATGTGCAAAGGCCCTGAGACAGGAATGTACCTGGTGTGTGCAAGGGGCAGCAGAAGGCCAGCATGGCCAGCACTGAGCACATGAAGAGGAGAGTGGACAGAGGAAAGTGATAGGCATGGGTAGGGGCAGTGCAGGCCGTGGTGAGGACTTCGCAGTGAGGGAAACGGGAGGGGTAGGAGGGTTTTGGCTGGAGGAGGGAGGTGACCCGACATATTTAAAACCCTCCATCAGGTTGGACCGCAGGGGAGCAAGGGTGAAAGCAGAGAAACCAGGGGAAAGGGCAAGCCGCTAAGACTATTTAGGGGAGGAGGGGCGCCTGGGTGGCTTAGTCGGTGAAGCATCCGACTTTCGCTTAGGTCATGATCTCGCGGTTCGTGGGTTCGAGCCCCGCGTCGGGCTCTGTGCTGACTGCCAGCTCAGAGCCTGGAGCCTGTTTCAGTCTGTGACTCCCTCTCTCTCTGACCCTCCCCTGCTCGCGCTGTCTCTCTCTCTCTCTCCTAGAAATAAATAAAACATTAAAAAAATTATTAAAAAAAAAAAAGACTATTTAGAGGAGGGAGGTGTCTGAGCCAGACGGTGGCAGAGAGGAGGGGAGGGCTGGGATTGTGTTCTGTTCTGTTCTGGGAGCTTGTCCACGATTCATCCTTAAGACAAGCAAGCAAGGTCAAGGAATGTGATCCCTGTTTTTGTAAAACACATTGAAAAACGAAATCTCTGTACACGTGTATGTGTGTTTCCGCATGGTTACCTGTGCCGGGGACAGGTGGAAGGTACCCAGAGTGTGTAATACATTGTTCCCACTTTGGACATGTCATCCCCTTGAGCTTTCTGGGCCTCTGCTGCCTCATCTGTGAAATGGGGATGTGGCCTTGCCTGAGGCAGGGTCAAACTCCGCACATGCGCAGGCAGCTTTTGGGAATGTCGCCTCCCACAGCTCGAGGACCCCAGCCTGGGACCTGCCCCCTGTCCTCCACCCCAGCCCCTCCCTCTGCTGGTAAAGGGTGGTTTGCACATGCCCAGAGCTCATTTCGGGAACTGCTGGGAGTGAGACAGACCGTGTTGAACACACCAGTGCTGGGTGGTGGTTCCCTTGCACACGAATCAGCTGAGAAGCTGGTTGAAATGCAGATTCTGCAGCCTCAGACATGCCGTGTGCTCCAAGACGCTTAGATGTGGAGGGAGTTGGGACCCAGGGATCCTCCGTTTATTTTATTATTATTTTTTAAAGTTTATTTATTTAGGGACACCTGGGTGGCTCAGCCGGTTAAGCGTCCGACTTGGGCTCAGGTCATGATCTCACGGTTCGTGGGTTCGAGCCCCGCGTCTGGCTCTGTGCTGACAGCTCAGAGCCTGGATCCCGCTTCGGATTCTGTCTCCTTCTCTCTGCCCCTCCCCTGCTCACACTCTTTCTCTCCTTCAAAAATAAATAAACATTTAAGAAATTAAAAAATAAGGTTTATTTATTTATTTAGAGGGAGAGAGCCAAAGAGAGAATCCCAAGCAGGCTCTGCACCAGCAGTGGGGAGCCTGATGCGGGGCACGAGCAGTGAAATCATCACCTGAGCCAAAACCCAGTTGACGCTTAACTGAGCCACTCAGGCGCCACAGGAACCCCCTCTTTAAATGAACCCCGCTCCCTCCAGAGTCTGACGCCCAAGTGGTCCAGACCCCTTACTCTGGGAAACACTGGGCTTAGGGAAGGGTTTTCCAGGTCCTGGTCACATTTTGACCCAGAGGCTGGGCATCCTGGGTAGAGAGTCAATCTCTCTGAGTCCCGGGCTGTGAGGTGAGGGTCTACAGTCCCCTTTGGCAAGTGGCGCTCTCTCATTTGACTCGTTTCAGTGGCAGGAGGAGGCTGGGAGTTGGGGACGGACTCTTGGGGACGATGGTCCGGATGGACAAGTGAGCTCCTGGGAGCACCTGGAGGCTGGGGCCGGGAAATGGGGACCAAACAGACCCTCATGAGGGCTGTCATGAGGCTGGGACAGGGGTGGGATGCTCAGGACGCCCGTGCAGGGAGGCAGCAGTCAGTAGGCGCGAAGTGACCCTGCTCTCTCCCTCCCGGGCCAGGTCCGGTGGGAAGCGGATGGCCAAGGTGGTGCGGGACTTCCTCCAGGCCCAGCAGGTGCAAGCGCCCTTGGAGCTCTATTCCGATTGGCTCTCTGTGGGCCATGTGGACGAATTCCTGAGCTTTGTGCCCACCTCTGACCAAAAGGTGCGTGCCTTCTATCTGAGCCACCTCTGCCCCTCCCCAACCTGATGGGATGGAACAGGGCAAAGCCATTTGACATCATCTCACACCCTGTGTCCATAGTCAGCTCAGAGCCCAGGCACCCTTGAAACCCGGTGGTGTTAATCAGAGGGGGCTTCCTGGAGGAGGTCAGAGCTCAGCTCAGGAGGGTCCTCATCGGCTCTCCTACTCATACACTCATTCACACACTTGCCGGGCATTTGCTCTGATCCAAACCTCTCAGCCTAGACTCAGGAATGACATGGATAATAACTGGTAAAATTTAGCACCTACGATGTATATGTGTTTTAATTCATTTGATCCTCCAACACTTCTATGAGATGGGTACTAGTCTCATTGACCCCATTTTATAGATGGGAAAACTGAGGCTCAGAAGGGCAGTTACTGGTAAGGTAAGACCCAAACCCAGACAGAGGGCTTGGGACCTGCATCTTAACCACTCAGCGCCACCACTTTGCAGAGAGGGGCCCAGCCCTCAGAGAGCAAGCAGCCTGGGAGGGGAGGCTTCCCGGTGACCAGTGATGAATTCCCTGGATGACAAATGAGGAAGGGCACCCAGGCAGAGAGATTGTCTCGGACAAAGGCCTGGGGGTGTAAACCAGCTTGGAGGATTAGGAGACTTTGCTGAGAGAACTTTGTGGCTGGTGGCTGGGCCTGAGGGGGAGAGGGGAGCCGCAGGTGTGGTCTGGCCTCTGAATCAGGCTCCTCCTGACTGTAGGGGTCTCCTGCATCTGGGGGGGGGGCGCAGTCCATCCGCTGAGCCATTCTCCCTCTGTGCCAGGGTTTCCGGCTGCTCCTGGCCAGCCCCAGTGCTTGCCTCAAGCTGTTCCAAGAGAAGAAAGAGGAGGGGTACGGGGAGGCAGCCCAGTTTGACGGTGAGTGCCCAGGACCCGGTCACTCCCCGCGTGGGGCCCCTGCCCGCTCACTGCCAGCCCTGAGTACCGTTAATGCCTTTCATGGCTGTGCTCTGTTTCCGGGCCCTTTGCCCCACCTGGGTCCCTCAGCTCAGAACCCGACATCGCTAGTTCTCGCAGCACCCTCACCGGGAGCTAAGGGTGAGAGCTGTCCCTTTATGGGGCCAAGGCAGGGACGCACACAGAATGTGACATTCTCAGTAAGGGTGGCCGGCTCCTGGCCACACCCCAGGAGAGGAAGACAACTGGAAACGTGTACACCCAGCCGATCTTGCACCCTCCCCTTAATCCCTATCCCCGGAGGCTCAGAGAGGGGCGCTTTGCTCAGGGCTATCACCGCGCTGCAGCAGGGCTGGGGGCTTGGGAGTGGCAGGGGTGAGAAGCCAGGTGGGTGGTCAGGGTCCCTCTGCGGACGGGCCTCTGGGAATTGACAGACCTGCCCAGGACCCGGCTGGCCCCCTTGCGCACTTCCCTTTCCCCACCGCGGACCTCAGTGTCCTCATCTGAGAAATGGAGCACTGGAAGGGATGTGCAGAGCCAGAAGACCTGGATTCAAATCCTGATCTTGCTGCTCAGGGCTGTGACATCAAGGCTGAGTTCTAAACCTCTCGGTGCCTCAGTTTCCTCTTCTCTGAATTGGGGGTGATAATTACCCCCGCCTCACATTGTTTTAAAGAAGAAGAAGAATTTAGGGGGGATGCCCAGAGCAGGTGGGTGCTCAATAATGGCAGCTGCGCTGTGTTAGGCCCTGAGCCAGCAGTCCCTTCCAAGCACTCTCTGCTCCAGCACCAAGATGTGCCGGCCATACCGGCAGCCAGTCTACAGCTTTCTCCGTCCTGGCTTCAGCCCCTGGCACTGAGGAGGGAGAGAAGTCCGGGCCCAAATTCTGCAGCCTCAGGCCCAAGACGGCCCTGGGGAGGCCTCCTGAGCCTCCCTCCTGTCTTTGTTCTCTCGCAGGACTAAGACACCAAGTGAGTATAAGCATTAATGAGATGCTGGCCAACAGTCGCCTCAGGAGGGACAGTCTATACGTACAGGTGAGGACCTGGGGTTCCGCTGCTTGCTCTTGGGTGGAGGGTCCCCCACCTCCCAGGGGAAGCAGCCCCAGGAATCTCCGGGGTGGGGGTAAAGGGCTCAGCCCCAGGCCTCTGTGTGGAGAACCCACAGTCTGATGGAGGAGGCGCAACGGTGCCCCCAGGCAGCTCCCAGTCTGATGAGGGGAGATCCTGCTCTGCTCTGGTGAAATGATGAGCTTCCGGAGCATCAGGGTAACAGGAGACAGATGAGGTGGAGAAATTGGGGCCCCGTGGGGACGAGGGGTGGGGTGGGTGGGAGTCAAGTGGATCCGGCAAGGAGGAGACTGGGTGGGAGGAGGTCTCCGGAAGGGGCAGGGTGGATGCCTGCCGCACGCGTAGTGCAGGCCCTGGCGCAGAGGACCCCCCGCTTTTCCTGCGTGGAGCCGGGCACCTTCTCTGAGAGGCTGAGAGGGGCAGAGGTGGACGCCGCGCTGTGGCTGGGACGGCGGAGTGCAGCGGCAAGCTCGTGTGGAACCAGAAACTTCCTGGGTCCAAATCCTAGCTCTACTGCTTCCTAGCTCTGTGCTCTCGGGCAGGTCACTTGAGCCTCAGTTTCCCCATCTGGGGGGCGGCAGTGGCACACGGCTGTTTGGGAGGGTCTGAGGAGCGCCGGGGTGCAAGGGCTCTGTGCGGGGCCTGGCTCGCAGTCGGCGTTCAGTGAGTTAGAGCCTCCCTGGCTGGCTGGGTGCACGCGCTGCCTCTCCTCCTGCCCCCCCAGAAATGCATCGACTGGAACCGGGAGGTGCTGAAGCGGGAGCTGGGCCTGACCGAGCGGGACATCGTGGACATCCCCCAGCTCTTCTCCCTGAAGGGCTCCCATGCAGAAGCCTTCTTCCCTGACATGGTGAGAGTGCAGAAGCAGGACGGGGCACTCCCTGTCCCCATGGCCCGACAGGGCCCGCAGGGGTGTCGCTGGGGTTCCAGAGGAGAAGCACTTCCTGTCTGAGGGCAGCCGAGCACAGAGACCGGGGCGGGTGTGGTGGTGTGTGTGTGTGTGTGCTCTTTTCTTTTTTTTTTTGAGAGAGAGAGAGAGAGCGTGCACGAGAGCAAGCACAAGCAGGGGAGGGGCGGAGAGGGAGGGAGGGAGAATTCCAGGCAGGCTTCTTGCTGACGCAGCGCAGGGCCCGATGCGGGGCTCGAACTCACAAACCGTGAGATCACGAACTGAGCTGAATTCAAGAGTCGGTCACTTAACCGGCTGAGCTCCCCAGGCGCCCCGGTCTGTTTGCTGTTTGTGCAGGTACAGGAAGGACGTCCCCCGCCAAGGGTTCTTCACTGGGGCAATTTTGCCTTCCGGGGCTTTTTTGTTTTATTGCCGCAAGGAGGGAGGTGGGTCCTGGCGTCGAGGGGGTGGAGGCCAGGGCTTCTGAACATCTGGCAGAGCACAGGGCGGCCCCCACCACTAAGGGCTTTGTTCTTCTCTCAAGTGGAAACAGGAAGCACGTTTGGGGTTCAGTGTTTCACGTTTCCATTCCGGGGACCCTGGCACCCACCGGCCGCTCCCCAGTGCGGCTCCTGAGGCGGGCAGGCCGGCCCACTGTGGCTGCCTCCCTGGCTGTCATTAAGTCAGGCAGCTGAGACGCAGATGCACAGGTGTGATCTCACCGGTGTGGCCTCTGGGAGGGGCCTGGCGAGGCTATCGGCACATCCACATTGTGGCTCAACCATTAACACGTTGGGAAGGGGAGTTCCCCAGGATGGGAGACCCTCCCTCTTCAGCCCAGGTGAGGCCTTTAACTGGAATCCCGGGTACTGGCCCAGCCAGGGCCTGGGAGTGACTCCTGAGGTCCTCACTGGAGGCTTGGTGACGGGGCAGGGTCTCCCCGCTCAGACCTAGCACTTCCGACTGAGACCTGGAAGTCAGGGCTCCCTGACCTCAGCTCTGCTGATGTCTAGGCCAGACTCCTTCATTGTGGGGCCCGCCCTGTGCATCGCAGGATGGCTGTGGCATCCCTGTCCACTACCCACTAGATATCAGTGGCACTCCCCTCGCTGTGACAACCAAAATGGCCTGGGGCCCAAATCACCCTGGCTGAGAACCCCTGTGCTCAGGCAGTACAGCCTGTGAGAACTTCCTCAGGCGACAGAAATGTTCTACGGCTGCACCATGCGACATGGGAGCCACCAAACCCCAGGTGGCGACGGAACACTGCAAATGGGCTAGTGTGGCCAAGGAGTGACATCTATGCTTCTGTTTAATTTAAATTTCAACAGCCCCATGTGGCTAGTGGCTGCCCTGTTGGGCAGGGGGGCAGTGAGGGGGCAGCCTGGTTCTGGTTGAAGGTCGGGGGAGGGCCTGGGCCAGAGTCCATGACCTTGGCCGGCCCTCTTTGGGCGGTGGCCTTGCCCACACCAGCTGGAAGCCCCTTCTGTGGGAATCCCTCAGCTTCCAGCCAGACCCTGCTGAAGGATCCCAGCATGTCCTCACTGGAAGAGCCCACAGGGGACTCAGATAACCCCCCATTTGTCGGATGGGGAAACAGGCCCTCAGAGGAGGGAAGTTGACTCACTGAGGTCATCCAGCAAGTGAGTGGCCTCCAGTCTCCTGAGTCCTCAACTCAGAAGAAGCAGACCTGGGCTGGCTTTGTCCCATTACATGCCCCACTTCCACCCAACACCTTCTGGCCCCTTAGTGGGCAGTTGGGTAGCTCAAGGCCAAGGCCATGGGACTGACTCGAGAGGACCCTCCAGGTTCATGCTGATCCCAGCTGTGGATAGATCCCAGCAGGCTGGAGGGTGAGGGCCAGAGCATGAAGGATGTGAGGGCACAGAGTTCAGGGTGAGCCACCCCACACTGAGATGACCCAGCACTACCTTCCAGATGGCAGGTCCAGAGTATCCACTTTGAATACCAAGGACAGCTCCTCTGGCCATCAATCTGGGGCTAAGACCCTTCCATATCCTGCCCCGGGGACACTTCCCTTCCCCACTGTTCCAGCCCCCAGTCAGGGAAGCAGACCTGCCACTGGAGATAAACGTGCCCCCAAGGGCTCCCAGCTTCTTGTCCCAACTCCTCAGCTCCCCCAGGCAGCCGCAATGGAGCGTAAAGAGCATGGGTTTGGGCAGGAGTTAGACCCACATCCAATTTTCGTCTCTCCATTCTCTGATTGTGTGGCCTGGATTCTGTTACTTAGCCTTTCCCTGCCATTGACTCAGAGGCAGGCTGTGAGGTACAGCGACGATGTATCTGGCACACAGGAGATGATCAATAAACTGTAACAATGATCGGGGCTTCCAGGGAGCGTTGAGCAAGCTGTGCACTGTACCAATGCACCATGCCCAGAAGGACATTCACACCATCGGCCTCGTAGGTATTTGTCCTACAAAGTTTCTGGCAGGTGAAGGTAAAATCTTATGCTAACTAACTTGTCACAACAACTTTCTGATGGAAGACAGTGTCGGAGGAAGGGGTGACTTTCATTCACATAAAGTTACCGTGTATGTTACCGGCAGCCCTACCTGGTACCAATCCTCTCTTCCAACCATGAATTCATTTCTTTGCTTCATACCTAGTGTTTGAGCCAGTGCCAGTCCTGGTTGCCCCAGGCATGCTGGTGAGGATGGGACAGACCTGGGGATGGGTCCCCTTCTTGTCTCCCTCTTGCTTTCTCTCTTCTACAGGTCAACATGGTGGTCTTGGGCAAACACCTGGGCATCCCCAAGCCCTTCGGGCCCATCATCAACGGCCGCTGCTGCCTGGAAGAGAAGGTGCGGTCCCTGCTGGAGCCGCTGGGCCTCCACTGTATCTTCATCGACGACTATTTGTCATACCACCAGCTGCTCGGGGAGATCCACTGCGGCACCAACGTGCGCCGGCAGCCCTTCTCCTTCAAGTGGTGGCACATGGTGCCCTGAGCCTCCGCCCACCTGCCAGGGGACCTCACCGGGGAGGGGAAGAAGAATTGCCACCTGGCCCCCAGCCCCTTGGGGGAGCCTCGAGCGCTTCTTCTCAGGTGCCTGCAAACGTGCCGGCCGCCGCAGGCCCCCGGATGTGGTGACGGAGGCCCCGCGCCCTCACCTCTAGAGTGGCCTGCCCAGCCTGAGAGGGACTGTCTTCGTTCCTCCCTCCCTCATCCTGCTCCGCCACTCCCAGAGGCTCTGGCAAAGAGCAACGGCCTTCGCACGTTCAAGGACAGCCGTACGTGGTCAAGGCTGTGCCTGACCTTGAGTCGCCCTCTCTCTGTTCTGTATTCCTCTTGTGTCCGCACCGGGAACAGCGCCGCCAGGGCCTGCGCTCAGAGGCAGGGGCCTGGGTCCAGGCCACCTGTGGTTCTCGTAAGAGCAGGCGCTGGGAGGTGACGCACCCTCTTTTCCTGACCAGCTGTCCTTTCCTGCAAGGGACCCTCAGCATGTGACCTCCCAGCACCCCTCCGCCATACTTATAGAGGCAAATAAGGATGGGAAAACCTAGCATCTGAGGACCTGTTTTAAAAAGAAAAGGCAACAAAAACCCTTTAATGCCTGACTCCATCCTCAGAAGGGTGCTTGTTACCTGTTTAGAAGGTCTGTAATTACAAGTGCTTCCGGCCCCGAAACGCTGAGAAGCCAGAGAGAGGCCTTGAGAGGCCACAGAGCAGGAAGGCTGCCAGGCGGGAGGCCAGGGTGGAAGGGGAGCCGAGGCATGAAGACGAACAGCGGGGCTTGGTCTCTGTGTCTTAGGTCTTGCCCCCTCGGATTCTGGACTCTGGATGTGAAGGGGGCTGGGCGTTCCAGATGTCGCAGGGGGTAGGGGCCCAGATGTTAGAAGAGGGTGGAGAGGGCCATTAGGTTATCTCTGAAGGTGGGGTTTAATTTCCTCTAATAGTCTTTAATTATTCCCTTTCGTCCTGCGGGCAGTGGGAGGGAAGTCTCGCCCAGTCCCTGTCCCTCTCGGCAACCCGGAGACCCTGAGCGTAGCCTGGGTTTCACCTGTGAGTAGCTCCCCTCCCCCGCCCATGGCAGGCCTGGGTCCCCTCCCAAACAGGGGAGAGAGCTGCCATGGGGGTGGGGGGAGTCAGTAGCCTGGCCCCAGGTGAGTCTTGGCCGGTGCCGGGCGAGGTGGCCCCTGCCCCAGGCACGCAGGGGCATGAGGGGGCCAGCCTGCCCCCTCCCCGCCATTGCCTCGGGGCCATCCCAGTGGCTCTCAGCCCCTGGGCCTCCACCTCATGGATTTTCAGTTGGCCCTGGTCAGACGGAGACCAGCCAGCCCTCCACTGTTAAATGCTGTTAGCGACGGAGCACTTAGCAAGGCTGTGTGGACACCCGACACATGAAACGGATAAAAGAGAGCTGCTCTGGCTTCAGGTGGCGGGAGTGGCGTACCTGGGCTCTCCCCTTCCAGAAGACTCTGTGGGACCCCATTTGCCAGCCCCTGGTCGAACCTTTGCGCTTTCCGCTCATACCCATAACCCAGCCCAGCCTGAGCCAAGAAGACAAGGAGGCACTTCAGGGGTCACCGGCCTGCGGCCAGGGTTGAGATTCCCCAGGGAAAGGCTGTGGGTGGAGGGAGGTTGCAGAGAGGTGGGGAGGGCGGGGAGCGAGACTTCTGGACTTGTGCTGAGGGTGGGAAGGCCTGGAATTGCTGCTAGAGCTGTCGGAGGGCCTGATGTCCCCTCTGTGAAGGTTCTGGGTGACGGATCACCTCCTACCTGATGAATAAAAAATGTCAGCATGCATTTCTTCAAGTGGCTGCCTCCTCGGCTTCTGTTTGTCGGGCTGCGGGGAGGAGTGGGGAGGGGAGGGGAGCCCTCCTAGTTCTATCCACTGTGCCGCCGGCCCCTTGGCTTGACTTCTGCTGGCCACGGGCAGCTCCTGCCTGGCTGGGAGAATGCCCGGGGCCAGTGGCAGGCAGGCGGGCTGATTCAGCAAGATGGCTGGCATAGGCCCATCACTCTGAGACCGACTGCCCTGCTGAGATGGATATCGGGCAAGGGGTGGGTCCTACCTCTTCATCTCTTCTCCCTCCCCTGGGCTATCTCTTCCATCTCTCAGAAGACTGGTGCGCTGGGCCCTATTGGCAGAGGTGGGAGATTCTCCAGTGGGGCCAGTGTCCAGGGCCAAAGGCCACTATGATTCCCTTTCATTCCTGCCTCTAAGGTTACCAAGTGGTCTGATTTCAGGGGACTGAAAATATCATCCCTCACATCCTACACACTTCTCTTATACAGGTGGGAGATTCTCCAGTGGGGCCAGTGTCCAGGGCCAAAGGCCACTATGATTCCCTTTCATTCCTGCCTCTAAGGTTACCAAGTGGTCTGATTTCAGGGGACTGAAAATATCATCCCTCACATCCTACACACTGGCTGCTGCCTCAGTTGCACCCTTTGACGCTCACTCAGTCATTTACTCATTAGCTTTATTTTGCCTTTTGTTGTGGACTCAGGTAAAAAGATGCGGCCCATCAGTCATTGACACTTTAGTCTGAATGAATCCCAGATGTGTTTCTAAAAGCTGGTATTAACCGGGGGGAGTGAAGGCATGGGTCTATTTCCAAGGGGAGATACAGGGCTCTGAGCCAGAGGGTGGCCCTGCCCCCAGCACAGGTGGCCAGTGCCCAGGGGGAAGCCTTCACTTTCTGCATCTATTACCCAACTATGCTCATAAGCAGGTAGGAAGACTGAGATTTCCTCCTGAGCCCTAACTCTTAGCCAGAGGTGAGTTGGCCAGCAAGCCATTTTATAGCCGACAAAGTAAAGCTGTTCCTGAATCCAGCAGCCCAACAGTTTTCCTTGAGAACATCCTTCCCAGACTCTGGGATAGAAAAGCACCAGGCTCAGAGCCCTGCTGAGATCAGGGAACTACGAAGACAGCGCCCACTGGGGACCCTGAGGAGCAGGGCCTGGGCCCCACCCTGTCTCAGACTGGCAGCATGTCCAGAGAGAAAGGAGGAAGTTTCTATTCAGCACCTTTGGAGCCTGGCCGGGCAGGGTGTGTCCCCGCCATTATCTCTACCAGGCTGGTGATCAGCCTCATTCTCTATGGATGAGGAAATCAGGGCTCAGAGAGGGAACGTAACCCAAGGCCACCTAGCCGGTGCATGCTGGAGTCTGGGTCCGAACCCAAGGCTCCTCTCCCCAGAGCCCTTGCTCCTGCGGTTTCAGGTGGTCAAACGCCCCCTCTGGCCTCAGTTTCCCCACCTGACAAATGAGCCTTCCTACTCTGACATTCTAAGCTCTTCTTGGCCAGAGAGGGACTTAACCCTCCCCACCGACCCCTTCCACAGGTGTGTGGCACCTAAAAATAATGACAACCCAGTAATAGAATATCGCCAAGCTCCACGCTAGAGCTCTACCCACGTTGTCCCATTTAAGCCTCCTAACAGCCATTTTCAGAGGCACAGAGCAGTGAAGTGACCTGTCCACCATCACACAGCCAGGATGTGGTTGAGGTAGGGCTGAAATCCAGTCCTGCTAACCCACCCCATGCTCGTAAGAAAAAAGACGGCGTTTCTCAAAATGCTTTGCGGTGTTTATTAAAAAAAAAAAAAAAAAATCCGGATGCCAGGCTGCACCCCTAACCTGCTGCGTCAGACTGGGGGTGGGGCCTGGGAATCGGCGTTTTCACCTGCTCCTCCGGCAGGGTAGGGAAGATCCCCTCTACACCATGTCATCTCTGAAAATGGAGGAAGCAGGGTGAGGAGGAAGAGCGTGGAAAGTTGAGGAAGAGGCCCGGGTCGATACTCCACATCTCTGCCTTCTCCACCCCCAACGCCCTGGTGCACCGGCCAGGTGCCCGTGGACTTGCTCCCTTAGGGAGAGAAACTAACTCCCTCTGCGGCTGGGGGCGGAGCAACAGGTTCATATGCAAACGATGGGTTCCTCCTGGCCAATCCTGAGCTCCTGGCTCTGGGAAGAGGCTGGGATTCCAGGACTAGAGCCAATGAGCTAGCACCGCGGGCTGGAGAGGCGGGGCCAGGGTCTTTTAAACGACAAGCCACGGGATCAGTGAGGAGGCGGTGTTGGCTTTGGTGGCCCAAGCCCAGTCCGAGGCCAGCATGTCAATGCAGAGGATTGTGCGCGTGTCCCTGGAGCATCCCACCAGCGCCGTGTGTGTGGCTGGCGTGGAGACCCTCGTGGACATTTATGGGTAAGGGCCAGAGGCCCGGGGGTCTGCAGGCCCTTGCTGCTGAGCCCCTTGGGCCGGTCTGGCGCCACTGTGTAGGGTTTCCTGAGGGCCCAGGTCCGGCTCGGCTTCCCTCCCCCAAGCCAGGGCACTTGAGTGTGGGAGGCTGCCTGGGGGGCAGAGAGGTGTGCGTGTTTGAGCTCTGGTCCAGGGCCTTGGAGGGTGCTGGGCACGCTGGAGGACCCTGCAGGCTGGATTCGCAAGAATAGGAAGAGGTGTGTACCCCCAGCTCTGGTCCCCAGCCTCTGAGCTCTGCAAATAGCAGCTGTCGTTTTTAAAGAAACCGTTTTTGCTTATGTGGCATTTCCTATGTGCCGAGCACCTTTCGAAGCTTGACAGTGTCCTTGAACTTTAACGCTCGAATCTAACCTTCACGACCTCCTATGTATGAGCTAAGTTTGTTATTAGCTTCGTCTCCTTTGACAGATGAGGAAACTGTGGCACCGCGAGGGCAACCATTTGCTCAAGCGACACAGTTACTGAGTGTCAGTGCCAGGCTTTAAACCCGCTCGTGTTCAAGTGTCTTACGCTTTTAGCTGTCTGCCACTTGGAGAGGAAGGGTCTGGTTTCCACCAGCCATCCAGAGCCCACACGTCAGGCCCCTGCTGTGTGCCGTGCTGGGTCCTTACAGCCAGTGTCTGGAGGTGAGGCTCCACCGTCTCTCGCTCCCAGGCAGAAAAGGAGGGTTTGGGCAAAGTTTCAAGGAGCTGGGTTCTGGGAACCCCCAGGGAGCTGGCTACTGAGCGTTTTGGGGAGTCTCCAGGGGTCCCAAAACCCCAGAGTCTCCAGGGGTCCCAGCTCCAAGGGATAGCTAGAGCCACGGGTAATCAGGGGGCTGGGAGGGGAGAAGGCTGAAGCATCACTGTCCCCTTGTCTCAGGGCTCCCGGCCTTTCCCCAGATCAGGCTTCGCATCCCGGCACCACTGACGGGCTAATGCCACGTGACGCAGGCTGCCCTGGGCACTGCGAGCTGTCGAGTGGTGCCCCTGGCTTCCACTCACTGGATGCCAGCGGCACACCCCCACTTGTGACTGCCAAGAATGTCTCCAGACATTGCCAAATGTGCCCTGTGCGGGGGAAAAATCAATCCCAGTTGAGAACCAGTATCCCAGAACAAGACTATACAAATGGGAGTGAACTAAGTCGGAAGCAGAGATGGGGTGGGTCCCAGGGCATTAGATGAGAAGGGGTGAAGGGCTGGTCAGGGGAGGGAACCGAGTCTGGAGCAGGCCCAGCAGGGCTAGGTACTGGGAGCCCAAGCCCGGTTGGGGGGGGGGCGGGGCGGGCAGTGAGAAGTAGGAAGGGGGTTTGGAGGACGAGCAGCCACAGAAGCCGTGAGGAGTGAACTTGGGAGGATGGGCATCCGTGCTGCCTGGCACCACCCCCTCCCTCAGCGCTGCGTGCCCATGAGGTGACTCACCTGCGTTGGCCGCCTCGTGCCCATCGGGCAGATGTGCCCCCAGTTTGACCTGGCCCGGGAAGCCCAGGGCTAGCTCCTCCCCTGCAGAGCTGCCTTAGAGGAGGGGGGACGAATCAGGGCCTCGAGAGGCAAAGGCAGCAGCCTCCTAGGGTTCTGTGAAGGGATGGGCCGTGTTGGGGTCCAGAGAGGAGGCTGGGGGTGGGGCAGCCCCAGGGTGCGGGGCAGAGCCTCAGGCCCCCTCAGAGGAAGGGTTCTGGGGCTTCTATGACTGGACCGCCTTGGGGAGGGGGCGGCGGAGGGCGCTGTCAGTTCATTGGTTCACACATTCATCAAGTATTTGTTCGGGGTCTGGTGTGGGCCGGGCATGCGGGCACAGTGCTGAACAAGGACATATATGGTCCCCCTCTCTGAGAATCTTCCCTTCAGAGTTCTTGCAGAGGCCGGGCCACCCGCGGAAGGGTCCCTGTCCTGCAAGGGGGAGCGGGACCCACTTAGCTCTACGTCCTTTCTGGCTTGGAGATGTCGTGACTCAGCCATCCTGGGAGCTCGCACCCAGGGCCAACAACGGAGAGGGCAGTGTGTGTGCTGGCTCAGTCCCGGCGCTGGGACCGAGCAGCTGCCTGACTTGGGGAGCGCCACCTAACCTCCCTGTTTCCTCGTCTGTAGGATGGCAACAATATTATCAGTGATGATCCTATATAATATATGTATATATTATATATTCATATATATTAACTAATTCTCACAATTCTGCGAGGTGAGTACTGTCATCACCCCTATTTTATAGATGAGGAAATGGAGGCACAGAGAGGTTAAGTAACTTGCCCCGTGTCACACAGCCTGTGAGGAGTGGCAGAACCAGGATGCAGCCCACACACTTTGGCCTTCACTTCAAAGGACTCTTGGGGAGATTGAATGAGATTGTGGGTGTGGAGCATGTAGGGGATGCCTGGTATGTGGGGGACATTTAATTATGGTAACTGCCACCGCTACCATCGCTACCACTGCCACCATCAACATCATCTTAAGGCTCTGTCCTGGCCCTTTGGACAGCCTCAAGTGTCCCCAAACCTGCCATAGACAAGGGAACAACCTCTGAACCAAGCCAGGAGAACCATATTGGGAGATGAGGCAAGAGAAATTAACATAAGCCGAGTAGTCACGGCAGGCTTCCTGGAGGAAGGTACCAACCAGAGCCTTGAAGGGTGAACACATGCAAGACCATTGGGGCACTCTGTCTATGGCAATGGACGAGACCCTGTCTTCTTGCCTTCCACGGTGTGGGAGATGGCTCCTACATGATAAGGGGGCTCTGCTTCCCGAGCAGGGTTTCAGAGGGGGGACAGGAAGGAAGAGGAACACACGGGTGTGCTGAGTCACTCCCTGGGGATAAATGTGCGGCCAAGTTTGCAGACCGCTCCCCTCGTTGGAACGGCCAACAGCTCATGTCCCCTCTTGCCCAGTTCAGTGGAGTGAAAGGGCAAAGGGCCCCCAGGGGCCAGGAGCCCTGAGGTTTAATCCTAGCTCTGCTGCCCTTTGCCATGTCACCGTGAGCAATTTGCTGCTCCTTCCTGGGCCTCAGTTTCCCCACATGTGCCCCGAAGAGGCTGGCAGAGATCAGGGGGCTTCAAGTTCTACTCGTGGAGGCGCCTGAGCCCCCTCCCTGGTTTGACGAAGCAGTTGTCCTTTGACTGGCTCGTGTTACATGGGCGCACAGAGGTGCCCGGACAGAGCCGGGCCCCAGGAGGGGCTGATGCGTCGTCAACTCTCTTAACCGTCTGGGCTTTGGGAAGAGGGTTCGTGTGGCTGCCATTCCCCAGGGGCAGCACGGGACTAAGCGGGGGCGGCGGTCTTCTGACCCTGATGATGGCGAGGTCAGCAGAGGTGGGATCTGGGGGCCTGGCTGAGCAGGGCGAGGCTGCTGGTGCTGCCACCAGGTCCCGAGCCATCCAGGCTTCCGTCTCGAGGGCTGTGTCGGTGGGGACCATGGCGGTGATCGTGTCAAACTGTTTTCAGCCACCAATCCTTTTCTTTCAATTTCCCATCCTTTTCTCGGCTCTGGAATGTCTGGTTTTGTTTTCCCTGAGGCCAAGGCCCTGAGCCCATGAAAGGAGACGAGGGGTTTGGATTTGCAGGGGAGGGGGTCGTGGCTCTGTCACTCAGCAGCTGTGCGACCTTGGGCAAGTCACCAGTCATCTCTGAGCTTGTTTCCTTATCTGTGAAGTGGTGATGATATACCTACCTAGTGTGGCTGCGGTGGCTACCTTTGTCACCTCTGTCGCCACCTCTGTCCCTCACCATTGAAGGGAAGACACAGAGCATCAAGGAAGACCCAACTTGTCTTGACTCCCAGAAGGGGGTGGGCTCACACTGTCATTCCCACGCCGAGTGGGGAGACAGCGCACACGTAGCCGTGGTTCACAGACGTCACCGGGCATCAGTATGGCTTAAAGCGCAGGTTCCAGGGCCCTGCCTACAGCACATCTGGTTCCGGAAGCTGAATTTTCAACAGGCAGGTCTGAGGTTGGCCACTGTGAGGGTGACCAGCTGTCCCCGTTTGCCCAAGAACTTTGAGGCTTTAGCACTGGAAGGCCCGCCCCCCAGGAAGCACCCCAGTCCCGGGCAGACCTGAGCGGTGGGTCACCCTATGTCTTACCCAGCATTCGCCATCTCCTAGACTGGCAGTGCCAGCAGGGCCGTCGGGCACTGGGACTGTGCAGGGAAGGGCCTTGGATTGTTCTGTGCATGGCCGGCTCAGCGGGACGAACCCAAAGCCCCCAGGGCTGGGCTGGGGCACAGTCAAGAGCAGCATGTGGGCGGTGCAGGGGGCCCACCGGGGAAGAACTTTGTCCAGGTGAGCCTCTGGCTTCTTCCCCCACCCTCCACCCGATGGGAAATCCAGACCCTCCCGTACCTGATGCAGGCTCTCTGAGCAGCCATGCCTTTGATCTTCCTAACAGCTTCTTTCATGGGGCCTGAGCACTAGACCCGGAGTCTAGAGCCCTACCTTCAAGTCCCTTCTCTCTTGGGCCTCAGTTTCCCTGGAGTCAAGTGAGGCATTGGCTTGGAGGCCTCCAACTTTCACTGATCTTGAGTGTTTATATGCACTGACTCTTTTTATCTTCTCCGCTTTATAGACAGAGACACTGAGGCAGGGGAAGGACGAGCCTCTCCCTCCCGGTCACACACCTGGCCAGTAGTGGGGCTGGGATCTGAACATCCAGCATCCACAGGCTCAGTCCCTCCTGATCAAGAACCTTAGCTGGCTCCCTATTACAAAGGGATGAAATGAAGGGAGCTCCTTACAGCCCGAATTTACCCTTGACCTCCTAAGGCTCCACCTTGAAAATCCCTCCCCCTCGGAGGTGTCTCCTCCTTGTCCTTGGTTTCCCTGCTTCCCCCCAGGAGGCTGTCCCCAGTCCCGCCCCCAGCCCCCCTCTCACACTGCCTCCATCTGCCCATTTCCTGCTTCCTAATTTACTTTAAGAACCCCTTCCCCCATCCTGGGTGTGTGGTTTTCCAAGCCTTTCCCATTATCGTGTCTGAGCTTTTCAGTTGCCCGTGAGGTTGACCAAGCGGGTGTCATTATCCCACTTTATAGGGAGGCAAGGTGATTTATCCAGGGTCACTTGGCTCAGGTGCGACCCATCCCGGACTACAACCTGACTCTTGACTCTGGTCCCGGCACCACTGAGCTCCCGGCTGCTTCTCCCCAGTCCCGAAGGGCTCTTGATCAGGGATCCCCTGGGGCCTCACACACAGAGGTGCAAAAGAGCTGGGCTAAGACACCCCAAACCCAGGGGTTGGGGTGGGGGAGCTGGGTGGGGTTCCGTGTCAGAAGGACCATCAAAGGTGCTCAGCTCCAGCTAGTGGGCACCTGAGGTCCATGCAGCCGCTGAGGGCTGGGAGAATTCCATAAAATGTTTACAAGCTTCCTGGGAGCTGCCAGGTGCCGCGGGCTGTGGGGCTGAGGGCACATTGTGGGGTGCAGGGGCCCCTTCATGGGTCTCTTTCTGGCTCTGCATCTCTCTGGGTTTTTCCCACATCTTTGTCTCTCTCTGTCTCTGTCTTTCTCTGTCTCTGTGTCCCCATGCCTCTTGGGCCAGGTTCTGGATGTCCCATGAGGGGCTGGCCCCCACACCCGGGGCACAACAGGGCAAAGGGCACCACCAGCCCCAGAAATTACAGGCTTTGGGAGTATGGTGTCCAGATAAATTCCAGGATGCCTAAGTAACGTTTGAAATCCAGATAAACAATTCATACTTTTTTAGTGTAAGTATATCCCCGATATTGCATGGGACATCCTCATACTAAAACAATTATTTGTTGCTCATTTGAAATTTGAGTCTCAAAGAGCCACTTTGAGAAATAGCAGAATGCTGCCGGTGGAGGAGCCAAGAGGGCATTTTTTTTTTCTTTCAAATAGTTTATTGTCAAGTTGGTTTCCATATAACACCCAGTGCTCATCCCCACAAGTGCCCTCCTCCGTGCCCATCTCCCCAAGAGGGCGTTTTGAAGCAGGTCTGCCCTCCTCCAAGCAGAGCAGGGAAAGGAAAGGGGCTGACATTGAACGGCCAGCTGTGCAACCTCGGGGAAGTGTCTCGCCCATCCTGAGCCTCCGTTCGCCCACGTGTAAATGAGGGTAATCATCTCCTTCTCCCAGGGCCATGGTGGCGATGAAAAGAATGCTGTTTGGAAAGGCTTAGCCGAGGCCTGTGTGCAAGTGTGCAGAGGGTGGGGGGGGGGGGGCTCAGGGGCTATGATTATCGAGATTACTCCTGGGAGGTGGTGGGTAAGGATACCCACTCAGGAGCCGGAATGCCTGGGCTGGGATCCCAGTCCTGCCATTTACTAGCTCCACGACCTTGGACAGGTTACTTAACCTCAGTTTCCCCATCTGTAAAATGGGAGACAGTGATAGTACGCGCCTCCTAGGTTTATTGAGAGGGTTTACATGATGTTATACACATAAGAACCTAAGAACCTCACGCGGGGCTGGTGTGTAGCAAGAACTCAACGATGGTCAACTATCAAGTGCGCAAGTGTGCTGCTTCCTCCAGGAAGCACTCAGTTCCCTCTGGCTCACAGTGGTCTCTCCCTACCTGGGATCCCACTGACCGCTGACTTCGTGACCCTAAGCCCCATCCGGCTGCCCTGGGAAGTGCTGCCCTTAACTCCCCGGTAGGATGGAAGGTTCTGGAATGGTGGGGAGAGTAATGATTGTATCTGCCACAGCCTGGCGATGCTTCTGAGCACAGTGGGCCCCCCAGAGCCCCAACCCCCCATAGACAGTAAGAGGGTGAGCAGACTGATATCAAACAGGACTGCCAGACTAGCTGGGGTGGGGGACACATGTCACAGGGCCAGATGACAGAGACTTTTTGACCCTACAAATGGTGCCTGGTTATTGAATCTGGCCAAGTTTCCCAGGCAACCCTGCCAAGCCGTGGCAGAGCTCTGGCTCTGTGTCAGAGGCCTGAGTGCAGACCTGCCTGTGCCGTTTGATGCCCTTGGGCTTGGTCTCTCTGAGCCTCAGTTTCTCACCTTCCCAGTGGAGATGATACTGCTCCCTTTGCAGACTTATAAGAATGAAAGGAGCTAAGAAATCAATACAAGGTTCCGTCATGCTGTGGGCACTCCACACAATGTAGTGCCCCTCCCTAGGGAAGAGCCCAAGGACATCTTCTTGCCTGCTAAAGAGGGGTGCAGTGGGACTTTGAGGGGAGACTGCTCTTCTTAAAGCCATGGCCTCAGAAGTGCAGGGGGTCCATTTGCAGGCTGGTGTCCACGGAGCTCTCTGTGCCCACCTCTACACTGGGGGATTGTAAAGCATTCAACTGGTCCCACCTTTCAAAGAGCTTGGGGTTTTGTTGGGAGGTAAAGAAGCTCCCAAGAGAAACATTAATAAGCTCACAATGTGGGAATGTGTACGCACTTGTGTGGGGTCCAGTTTTCACTCCCAGATACTTGCTGTGGGGATGTGAGGGGGCCTAGGGTGGTCAGGGAAGGCTTCCTGGAGGAAGCAAGAGTCCGAGCCAAAGCTCAGGCTTCCCACGGCGTCTTGTCTTTCCCAGGTCAGTACCTGAGGGCACAGAGATGTTCGAGGTCTACGGGACCCCCGGCGTGGACATCTACATCTCTCCTAGCCTGGAGAGGGATCGGGAGCGTGCAGACACCAGGCGGTGGCACTTTGACACGGGGCTGGAGATCATCGTGGTCATGAACTCGCCCAGCAATGACCTCAATGACAGTCATGTGAGCAGGTCCCCTGGTCTGGGGTTTGAGGGGGCACTGATCTAGCTCCCCAAGGGCCAGCACCCGCTGCTTCCCCAGACGGCAGGGTAGCATGAGGGGTCAGCACTGGCCCTGGAGCCAGCCAGCTCTGCAGCTTACGGACATAAACCCTGTGTCTATTGGCAAGTCACGGCAGCCCCCTGGGCCTCGATTTCCCCATCTGTAAAATGGGGATGATCATGGCACCTTCCTCCTGGTGTTGGTTTGGGGTGGAACATGAGCCAACGTTTGTGTCTTGTTTTCAAAGACCACTATAAAGGGAGGTGTCCCAGTTTTTCTGTGTTGGGACTTAGTTTCCCTATCTGCAGGCTGAGTAGGTGATCTCTGTCACTCTGGATGAAGGAGGGAAAGCAGAGATCGGGGGAGGATGCTGGCGCCTGGGGAGACCCCCTTCTCCAGGGTGCCTCATCTTCTCCTAATCCATTCTTTTCCTGATTCCATTCCCTTCTCGGGGATACATAACCTCCCTTCTTCCCCTCTCTGCTCATTTAACTTCCAAGGGTGAGTTTAACAAGCCCTGGATGTAGGTAATGCTCTGGCCAGGGCAGGGGGATTTAAAAGAAGGGAGAGGGGCGCCTGGGTGGCTCAGCTGGTTAAGTATCTGACTCTTGATTTCGGCTCAGGTCATGATCTCACAGTTAGTGAGTCTGAGCCCTGCATCAGGCGCCCCACTAGCAGTGGGGATCCTGCTTGGGATTCTCTCTCTTTCTCTCTCTCTCTCTGCCCTTCCTCCCCTCACTCCCACTCTCTAAAATAAATAAACCTAAAAAAATAAAGAAAAGATGGGAGAAATGGGGTGGCCCTTGAGCTTGGCACAGGTGATGCCCCCCGTAAAGGGGTGATGGGACCCAAGTCTTATGGGAGGAAGTGGCAAGTTCCCACCCCGCATCAGGAGCAGTGTTTCAGGAAATGACCCTTTCAGGACCATTGACCATGCGCCACACACTGGGCAGCCGTGACCTCATCCAGCCCTCACAAAGTTCAGAGAGGCAGGGTCTGGTCCCTGTTGCACAGGTGGCGCCACCACGGTTCAGAGTAACTATGTCCGGGCCACATAGCCCATCAGGAATAAAGCTAGTATTCGACACAGACCTGCCTGACACCTGGCGCAGGTTCCCTTCATCACCCCCACGGCTTTTCCCATCCATGTGTCTGCGACGCGCCTCTCCACTGAGCTCCGCGTCGCAGCTGCGCAGGACTCAGGGAACTCATTTTGCGGTCGAGGAAACTGAGAACGAGGCGCAGCTTACCTGAAGGCACCTGATCTAGTGAGGGGCAGAGTCAGTGAGGGTCAGGGCAGAGTCCCTGGGGCAGGGCCAGAGGACCAGGCAGCCTGAAAGTGCGCCTAAGAAGGGCCGAGCTGGGGGCTGGGTAGACGCCAAAGACACAAGCGATTGAGGAGGGTTGGAGCGTCCTGCCCTTCCCCTTCCCGCACCTTTGGCCTGGAGCCAGGTAATTGTATGACTGAGGCCAGCATCAGTGCTCCGGCTTCACACGTGGGTCAGGAATTGCAGGATTTAGGGGCTCCCAGCACTGAGGGGTGAGTGGCCTCTATAAGATCCTGAACCTTCTGGCTGAGCTGAGAGACCCACATCAGGAGGGAATGTGCAAGTGAGGGCTGTGGGTCGAAGGGGCTTTGATACATGGCCTTGAATTGTGTTATCACATTGTCAGCCTGGCTTTTAGCTCTTGGGCTCTTGCTGCAGGCCAGGTGCTGTGATGAGCATGTCACACGCCTTCCTTCTTTGATGGTCACAGCCTACAATCAACCCTCTGGGGTGGGAACTATCATTATCCCCACTTCACAGCAGTGGACATTGAGGCCCAGAGAGGACAAGGGACTCTTCCTGAGGTATTCACAAGCGGTGCTTCGGAATCTGAGCCCAGCTTGAATCTGAGCCCAGAGCCCTGCACCACCTCACACAATGCCACCTGCCTGCCATTAACAGTAGCTGGGGTTTCTCAGGCACCTCCTATGGGGTGAGTCTTGTACATGTGTTGTTTCCAGTTAACACTACAGTCGTCCGCGGTAGGGACCTCTATGGTCGCTGTTCTGCAGATGAAGAAATGAGACAGCTCAGAAAGGTGAAGGGCCTTGGCCAAGGTCACAGAGCCCCAAGATGTTGGGCTCAATTCTAAGCCTGTCTGAATCCCACAGATAAGAGGGTCTCCATAAACCCTGCCCAGGCAGACCTCCTCACTTTGCAGATGGCAAAACATAGATCCAAAGAGGGGCAGGAGCCTGCCAAAGTCACACAGCAGTCATTGGCAGCACTGGGACCCAGGTCTCCAGGGAATCCCTTACAGATGGTTCCCATTTTACAGATGGGCCAACCAAGGCATGGAAAAATAAATGGCACAGAGAAGACTAAAGAAAGAGCTGGGTTGGTAAACTCAACTTCGGTGCACAGAGGTCCCTGAGACACCCCCCCTTCCTTGCTAGACTCCCCAAGACGTGTCCTTTGGGGTGGGGGCTGTTGGCTTCAGCTGGCCTGACTCTGGACCCATTTCTCTACAGGTTCAGATTTCCTACCACTCCAGCCATCAATCCCTTCCCCTGGCCTATGCAGTGCTCTACCTCACCTGTGTCGGTAAGTTGGGGGCCATGCTGGGGCCTCGGTCAGCCAAGGGTGAGAATGGTTGGGAATGACATTGAACGAGGGTCTATTTACAAAAATCAACCCATTTTATTTTAAAAATTAAAATAAGGAGGATATGTTTAGAAAATTCAAATGGTACAAAAGAGTATATATTGAAAAGTGAATCTCCTTCCCTCCAACCCAAGACTTCTAATCCCCACGCCCAGCATCCTTCCAGAGATAAGCTGTGCTCATACATGTGGACACATGCATGTCTGTATATTCCCCTTTTTGTAAGAATGGATGTGGAACTGGGCTTTGTTTTTTCCACCTTACATTTTTTTGTGCTGATTATCCACAAATGGATGTATAAATTCCATACAAGATAACTCACTTTGATTAATACATTAAAAGCTCTAGAGGAAAAGGTGGGTAATGTGAATAAATAGATAGGGAATTTCAACAGAGAGTTGAAAACTATAAGAAGGAGTCAAATGGAAATGCTAGAACTAAAAATCATGGTAACAGATTTTAAAAATAGTTTTTGGTGGGTTCATAGGTAGATTTGACACAGCTGAAGAGAGAATCAGTGAACTTGAAAATAGGGCAACAAAAATCACTTAAACTGAAACAAAAAGAGAGGGGAAAAAAGAGTGTAACAAACAAAACACTAGAACAGAGATCTAAGAGCTGTGGGACAGTATCAAACAATCTACACTCAATTATGTGTCGATCAAAATTCCAACATGACTTTTGTATAGATCTTCATAGAGCTGATCCTAAAAGTCATATGAATGAGCAAAGGGCAAGAGTGACCAAGATAATGTTCTTTGAAAAAGAACAAGGTAGAGGGATTCATGGTACCAGATATCAGGACTTTTTCAAGCCATAGGACTTGAGGTGGCATGAAATCGGTGCAGGGTTAAATGTAAGCCAGTGGGACAGAGAAGAACTCAGACATAGAGCCGCGTTCAGACGGTTATCACATGAGAATCAATGGACATGAAGCCCTACCTCACGCCACACTCAAAAATAAATTTCAGATGGAATAAAAATCCTAAAGTGAAAATCAAAATAATAAAGCTTTTAGAAGGGAATATCTTTCCAATCTCAGGGTAGACAAGTTGTTTTTTCAACATAGATCATAAGGGGAAAGACTGATAAATTAGATTCTATTAAAATTTGAAACTTTTATATAACAGAAGACAAGTGAAACGTCAAACTGGCTGGCTCAGTCCATAGAGAATGAGACTCTTGATCATGGGGTCATGAGTTCAAGCCCCAAACTGGGCACAGAGCTTACTTTAAAGAAAAAAAAAAAAAGAGGGGCGCCTGGGTGACTCAGCCTGTTAAGCGTCTGACTGGCTCAGGTCATGATCTCACAGTTTCTGTGTTCAAACCTTGCACCAGGCTCTATGCTGACAGCTCAGAGCCTGGAGCCTGCTTCAGATTCTGTGTCTCCCTCTCTCTCTGCCTCTCCCCCATTCATGCTCTGTTTCTCTCTGTCTCAATAATAAATAAACATAAAAAAAGAAAGAAAATGAAGTCAAACTATGGACCAAGAGGAGAAATGTGCAATGCATATGGCTGACTCAGTGCATGTAGATTACGGAGAACTCCAATCCGTGAGAAAAAGAAAGATACCCTAATGGAAACAGGCGAAAAATATGAACAAGCAATTCACAGCAGAGAAAGCCTCAGTGATCAGAACCCAGATGGAAAGATGCTTAACTCAGTGTTGCCAGGGATAAGGAACCAGGAAGCTCCGTGACGATGGGTGGGAGTTTGTGTATGTACAAGCCCTTGCACAGCACTTAGCAAGAAAGTTGAAATGCTCTGTCTGCAGGAGGGGTTGTTAGAAGCAGAATGTGCCTTGTAAATTTGGGGGGGTTATACTGGGAATGGGAATTCCCATTTGGTAGATACTGGCTGCTCTCCAGACAGACCATCCCACCTTACACAGCTGCCAAAGCATATGACATTGTCTTTGCCAACACCGTGTATTGTCAGCCTTTCCCATTTTGGCCTGTCTGAGAAGTTAGCTTTCCTGTTTGGCTTTAATCTGTCTTCCTTGAGTTAGGACTGAGGTTGGGTATCTCCCTGACTCTCCCTCCCCAAACCCACACCCTTGTCTCCTGGAAAATATACACTCACACGAGCGCATAAAGCTCTGTATGTGTGTTGGGGAGGGATGTGCGTGCACACGTGCCTGTGTGTAGTTGACCCATTGTTACAAAGCCAACACTCGAGCGACCATCACCCACCTCAAGAACATGACTGGCACTCTGAAGTCCCCAAATCTGATTATAACTCCTTCTTCCCCCTGGAACTAACCGCTATCTTGTGATAAGTATTTCCATACTTTTCTTTATGGTTTTCTCACTTGAATATGCATCTAGGAAGAAGATGGTCTATTTTTGCCTCTTTGAATTTTCCATGGCTGGAACCATATTGTACATATTCTTTGGGGTTGGGCTTCTTTCACCTCCACTGTGTTTGTGAGATTCACCCACCTGCTGCATGGTGGGTGGGTATCTTTTTGCATATTTATAAATCATTTCAAGTTTTCTTTCTCTTTCTCTTCTTCATATGTTCCATTTGTGCTGCAAAACCTTCCTGCTTTCTAGGGAGAAACATTGAGAATGTGGGATCGGGGCTGAGATTTGGGGAGTATAAGATGAAGCTGAGGTTCAGAGAGGCCACAGAGCCAGTCAGTGCCAGAGCCCGGATTCGCATCTTCATCTGTCTAACACCAAGGCTCACTGCCCCATCCCAAGGAGATGAAGCAGCTTCACAGAGACCAAGAATGTCCAGGAGGACCTGGGATCAGTACAGGGTGGGCCTCAGGCAGTGAGGGCTGTGTGGATGCGGAAGAGGGAGGAGTCAGGGAAGGCTTCCAGGAGGAGGGCAGCATTTGACCTGACCCATTGCTCTTAACCTCCTTCCTCCCCAAGGCCTCTTTCCTCAGCCCAGGGAAAGAGATTTCAGATGTCTCTACCTCTGGGCAGTGTCTATTTAGAAATTACTTTCTTTGCCCAGCTCCAGATGGGCTCTGAGATTGAGGCTGAGAAATAGAGGCCTCAGACCTGTCTGGCCTCCTGGGAACCCCGTGGTAGCTTACTCTCTGCCCTTCCATTGCAGACATCGCTCTGGATTGTGACCTGAACTGTGAGGGCAGAGAGAACAGGAGCTTTGTGGACAAGGTAGGGCATCTCTATCTGAGCCTATGGAGTTTGGAGTTGACCTAGGCTGGGTTAAGAGGGGCAAGGTCATTACAGGTACCTCCCTGCTCCCCGCTGCTGCCAAGGTCCGGGGAGCCAGATGGGAGCCAGGCGTGGCTGGAGATCTTTCACCAGGAGAAAAATCATTACCAAGAATTATCAAGTCACATGCATGCCCAGGCCCAGGCTGGGCCTTGCTTTGTGGCAAAAAGTCCTTCAGGAATTTCAATCTAGGTCAGGGGTCAGCAAACTATTTCTGTAAACAAGAGATAGTAAATATTTTAGGCATTGCAAAGTGATTCTGTGGCAATTATTCGATTCTGCCATTGTAGTGTGAAAGAGCTATAGTTTTTTTTTTTAATGTTTTTTATTTATTTCTAGGCGAGAGAGAGAGGGAGAGAAAGAGACAGCGTGAGCAGGGGAGGGTCAGAGAGAGAGGGAGTCACAGACTGAAACAGGCTCCAGGCTCTGAGCTGGCAGTCAGCACAGAACCCACGAACCGCGAGATCGTGACCTAAGCGAAAGTCGGACGCTTAACCGACTAAGCCACCCAGGCGCCCCGGAAGAGCTATAGTTAACACAGAAACCAACGGGTATGACCGTTCCAATAAAGCTTTATTTACAAAACCAGGCAGTGGGCCGGATGGGACCTGCGGGCTGTAGTGTGCCAGCCTCCTGATCTCGGTGAGAAGGGAGCTCTACCAAGAATGAAACGGTTCAAGAACTTTGGGCTGAATTGTGGTGGCACTCAGTGCCTTGGGTGTTCAAAGCAGAAGGTCAAGGTGGGCCGGGTCAGCAAGGAAGACTTCCTTTGAAGCCCACCTGAGCTAGGCTCTGAAGCAACGCAGGAGGGAGGGCGCTCCAGGCGGAGGAAACAGCGGGAGCCCAGGCCTGGAGCCAGGAATGGGTCTATAGTCAGGAGGCTGCCTGTGGAGGAAGAACACTGGCCGGAGACGCTCGCCGTGGGCCGTGAAAGTCACGCGTGGAGTTTGGACTTGCGGGTGTAAACCACGGTGGCCACTGCCGTGTCTGGTGCAGGAAGTGCTTCAGTGAGAGTGTGGAACTACCCTCCCAGGGAGGCCGAAGAGAAGAGATGGGGTTGGGTGGCTGGCTGGGGGCGGGGTGGGGGGCTGCGGGGCGGGGGCGTGGGTCTGGCCTGCGCCCCATCACCAGCTTTGCTTTGCCATTGGCAGCGGCAGTGGGTCTGGGGGCCCGGTGGGTACGGAGCCATCTTGCTGGTGAACTGTGACAGGGACGATCGGAACAGTTACCACCAGGACAACTGTGACCAGCACGTGCAGTGCCTGCAAGGTGAGGGGTTCCCAGGGTCGCTGCTCCGCCACCTGGAGGGGTGTCTCTGGAAGGCAGAGCCCCGGGGCCAGAGTCCCAGCTCCAGGACAAACTTCGCAGCCTCCGGCTGGGAGCCGCCCCCTCGAAGCCGCCAGGTGCCAGCGGCCTCTCACACGTGGGGGCGGAGCTCTGGGATGAGCTGGCCCCACCCCGCTGTTGGGGGGGGGGGACAGATTCTTATTTAATTATCCAGGTGGGAGGGCAGCTTCACATCACCCCAAGTAGAGATGAGGGTGCTGAGGCCTAGAGGGGACCCCTGAAATCACCCAGGTCCAAAGCTTCCTGACTGCAAATCTGGCCTCCCCGCCAGGCATCTCTGGCCTGCATTTGGACGTCCAACCTTCTGTCCCACACGGCGCAGCAGCCCCATGAGGAGGGCCTCGGGGATAGCCTGGGGTGCGGGCGGGTGCCTTGCACGTGGGTGCACACAGCCCCACACATGTGTCCCTCCTTTCAGAGAGGGGAGCGCTGAGGCTCAGGGAGGGCGGGGGTGCCCAGTGCCAGCAGGGAGTGACTCAGGCACTCGGGTACTGAGCCCGGAACCCTCCCCTGCACCCGCCCAGGTGGCCTGCCCGCTCCCCGGCCCTGCACTGAGCCCCGAATCCTCCCCTGTACCTGCCCAGGCCTGCCCTCCCCGCCCGCCCCCTCCCCCCCATGCACTTTCTCACCTGTCACCAACCGGACACTGGGCTGGCCGCTCTGCACTTCCTAGAGCTCTGGGCAGGTGAGCAGAGGGAGGCGTCTTCATGGTTTGCCCTTGACGGCTTCAGTGTTTTCACAGGGTGGGCAGCTGTGGGGCTCAGAGACCCAGGTCCTGGCACCCTCTGCCCTTGGGGGGTGCGGAGGGCAGGAGGAGAAGACACAGAGTGTCACAGGCCCCCTGAGCCGCCGCCGCTGTCTGGCTCCACAGACCTGGAAGACATGTCAGTCATGGTCCTGCGGACCCAAGGCCCCGCCGCCCTCTTCGACGACCACAAACTTATCCTCCACACCTCCAGCTATGACGCCAAGTGGGCTCGGGTCTTCCACGCCTGTGGTGAGTTCTGCGCCTTCCCCTCTCCCCCACTGCTGGGGAGGGGGTCACAGTTTCCCCACCTCGGGCCGGAGGGCAGCCACCCCCACTGCTGGAGAGGGGGGCCTCAGTTTCCCCACCCTGGGCTGGAGGGCAGCCTCTGCTCTGGTCTCCAGCCTGCCTTGGGGGTCAGAGGAAGCATAGTCAGGTGTGGGAACTCTAAACCAGGGTCACTGGTGTCCCTGTGCAGCTGTGGCCCAAGGCCATTTGATTGGATGAATTAATTTGAAAAAAATATATATGTATTTTTTAAAATTCTTTAATTTTTTAAAATTTTATTTCTGAGAGGGAGAGAGAGACACAGCGTGACAAGGGGAGGGTCAGAGAGAGACGGAGATGCAGAATCAGAAGCAGGCTCCAGGCTCTGAGCTGTCAGCACAGAGCCCGAAGCAGGGCTCGAACCCACGAACTGGGAGATCATGACCTGAGCTGAAGTCGGATGCTTAACCGACTGAGCCACCCAGGTGCCCCTGAAAAATATATTTTAAGCACGTTCCGAATTTTTTATTACCCACACTTTCAAACATACACAGAAGTAGAAAGAATAGGAATGAGCCAACCACACAGATTCAACAATTACTGCTACTTTGCTTCTCGTGCTCCCTTGATCCTGTTTGCTGAAGTCTCAAAGCCACTCCCAGACACTGTGGCTAAAGCCCCTGCATAATTCCATGTCATCTCCCCCCCAAAAAATGACTTGTTCCACACAGCCACGATGCTGTTGTCACACACGAGCAAGGACACAAAGTATCTTTTAAACATACAAAGCCATACAAGTAATAAAATGCTTGTCGTTAACAAGATCAAACAATATAGAAGTATACATGGTAAAAAAAAAAAATGAGCGTTCCCTGGGACACCCGGGTGGCTCAGTTGGTGGCTCAGTTGGTTAAGTGTCCAACTTCGGCTCATGTCGTGATCTCACAGTTTGTGGGTTCGAGCCCTGTGTCAGGTTCTGTGCTGACAGCTGGGAGCCTGGAGCCTGCTTCGGATTCTGTGTCTCCCTCTCTCTCTGCACCCCCACTGCGCTTGCAACTCTGTGTCTCCGTCTCTCAAAAACAAACATTAACAAGAATTTTTTTTTTAATTAAAAAAAAGAGAGTTTCCTAAATCCCTAAACCTGACTCTTAAAGCGTGTTCATTGTTAAGGATTTGCTCTGTGTTTCTCCTGACTTGTCTCCGTGTGCACTGAGTGTGCGTATTCTGCTTTCCAAACGGTTTCTTCCTTGGAATCATACATCCGACGCCCCTTTCTGTATTTATCCAGCTCTTCCTTGTTCCTTCCCATGGCTGCATGGATGTGCTGTAATGTATGCGGTACCTGAGCATACAGTTGTTTGCAGTGTTCCGATTTTGCTCCAGTATAGGTTCCTTGAGGGCAGGGCCTTGCTCACGGCTTTGGCCTGAGTCTGGAACCATGCCCCGTGGGGGCAGAGGAGGTGCCCTGTAAATATTTGTTCCATGAATGAAGAACCAGTGGATGCCCTTATACATGTGTTTGTATGCACCGATTTCTAGCAATTCCTAGAAATGGAGTTGCTTGTTTGGGAGTAGACATGACTTGTGAGGTTGCGCTAGGTTGCCCTCCAGAAGGTCTGAGCGGTGATCTCAGAGAGGAACGGCCCCTCCCCGGGCGGTGCCCACACTGGGCATCAAGCACCTTTCTCTCCTTTGCCAGCGGGAGGGTAGAGGTGGGGGCTGCTCTCTGGCTTGAGGGTTTTGGGAGGAGGTTGGTACAGCTCTTCCTGCATCTCTGGTGCTCCGGGGACCCACCTGGGAGTCACGGCCACCCCTTCTGTCCCCTCCCAGGTCCCGAGGACTCGTGTGAAGCCTATAGGCACGTGCTGGGCCAGAACAAGGTGTCGTACGAGGTGCCCCGTTTCCAAGGCGATGAGGAGCGCTTCTTTGTGGAGGGTCTCTCGTTCCCTGACGCCAGCTTCACGGGGCTCGTGTCCTTCCACGTCACCCTGCTGGACGACTCCAACGAGGTAGGGGCGGCCAGGGCGGAGAGGGGGAGACGGGCTCCGCCGACACGAAGGATCCCAGACCTCCCGACCGCCCCGCTGGTGCCTCTCGAGAAACTAAGAGGCGCCGAGCTCAGGGTCCACATGGTCCTTGACTCAGCCAGGCCTCTGGACTCCAAGGCCAGTGCTCTTCCCTCACTGTAGGATTTCTCCGAGGCCCCAATCCTCACCGACACCGTGGTGTTCCGCGTGGCGCCCTGGATTATGACACCCAGCACCCTGCCGCCCTTGGAGGTATACGTGTGCCGGTGAGTGTGTGTGTGTGCGGTGGGGGCGGGGGGGAGGTGTCCCTCTGACCCCGGAGGGCCCCTCTGGCCTCCAGACGTGGCTCTGCCCTGAGCCACTCTCCCTGGGCTTGTCCGCAGTGTGAGGAACAACACGTGTTTTGTGGACGCGGTGGCGGAGCTGGCCCGGGAGGCGGGCTGTAAGCTGACTGTCTGCCCGCAGGCTGAGAACCGTAATGACCGCTGGATCCAGGTACCACGGCCACGGGCAGCACCAGCCCACCCGGCCAGGGCGGCATCTCGGAGGGCGAGGCTGGCGGACCCCATCGGGGCTGGCGGGAGGTCACTTTTGAGTGTTTAGAAGGCCCTGGGGGCTGCGAGTGTCCTTTTTCTCATTCTAGACCTAGAGCTCTCTCCTTCTCTCCAGAAGCTTCTGGAGCCCCAGGCACACCCTGACGCTAGATTGAACTCCCCTTTGCCCGCAGGGTCTGGGCTCGGCTCGAGGCTGGCCCTGAAAGGGGTGGCGGAGGCGGGGGACACCGTCCCTGCCCTCAGCAGCCAGGCCCCGTGGCTCCCCATGGAAGGCACTCTGTCCCTCTAGGGACATTTGGCAGTGCCTGGAGAAATTAGGGGCTGTCACACAGAGGGCAGCGGTTATACTGGCTTCTAGCGGGTGGAGCTCAGAGATAGCACTAAGCATCCTGCAAGGGAGGAGCAGGGCGGCCCCATGACAAGAGTGATTTGGCCTCAAGCATCACTGGTGCCGCTGAGAAGCCCTGATGTGCTGAATTATTGTGACTGAAGGTGCAGCAGGGGCACCAGCAAAGTGCCAGCGGGCTTGGAGGATGGTGGCATCCCCTCTGTCTGGGGGAGGGGTGAACACCTCCAGGAGGAAGGGCATCTGGGCAGGGCCAGGTGGGCAATGAGTGCTGCCATTTATCAAGCACTTACGGGGGGAGCCATGCATGGTGTCCTCACCTTCTCGGCACATCCCTGCTGTCACCCACCTGAGGAGCCCGCGGGGGTGGGAGTGGCAAACGCCCAGGGCTCCAGAGCTGGTAAGGGCCACGCCGGGGCTCAGCCAATGGTGGTTCACGCAGAGGACCAGCATGTGCAAAGGTCCGGAGAGCAGAGGCACGAGAAAGAATGTCTCGTGCTCCTGTGGGCCAGGGCCAAGGTTCTGTGAAGGGCAGCAGCTGAAGTGGGAGACCCTGAATGCTGGGCTCCGAAGCTTTGGTGGCTGGAGGTTCATCCAATGAGGTGGAAGCTCAGGGCAGGAGTCTGGAGCAAGCTGGGCTGGGTTCGGAGCCCAGCTGTGCCACTGACTAGCTGTGTGCCCTTGGGCAATAATTAGACCTCTCTGTTCCTTGCTTACCTCATCTGTGACATGGGTAACAATAGTGCCTCCTCGCAGGTGTGGAATGAGGATTAATGGAATTAATACTTATAAAGAGCTTAGAGCAGGGCCAGGTGCATAACAGCGAGCTTCTCATCCGATGTATAGTTCATTGGTGCTGGGCCGTCTTTGTCTCCAGGGCCAGCGGGCTTAGGACCGAGCTGGCCTGAATGTTTAGCAATCGGAGGAGGAGGCAGATCTCTACCTCCTTGGGTTCCCAGCCCTGCGCGGCTGCCAGCTCCTCACGACCACGTGTGGAGCCAGAGGCTGGTGTCCAGAGACTTATCTGTCCATGTGCGGCCCCCCTGAGCCCCTCTCTGTGTCCACTCTGCCCTGTTCTGGCACAAGGACACCCCCAGGGTCACACCCATCTTCTCGTTCATTCCCGCCTGTCTTGCTGTGTGACCTTAGGCAAGAGGGCCCCCTCTCTGAGCCTCCGGCCCCTCCTCCAGCCAGCAGGCATCAGGCACCCCTGCCGTCTCCACCCTGAAGGGGAAGGCAGGCCTGAGACAAAGAACCCCCATGGACAGTCTTCTCCAAAGTTCTCAGTGCCAAGCGAGGGTGGGCTGTCCACACGGTGTCTCTCGGCCGCAGGACGAGATGGAGCTGGGCTACGTCCAGGCGCCACACAAGACCTTCCCCGTGGTCTTCGACTCCCCCAGGAACGGAGAGCTGCAGGACTTCCCTTACAAAAGGATCCTGGTGAGTGGCTGTGGGGGCCGAGGGACGTTACCCGAGAGCCGCACCGGGGCGTAGAGCCTAGGGGGCTGCTCCGGGAACCACGTTCTCTAGGGACGGGGGGGGACCAGAAAAAACCACGAGAGATGCCCAGATAAGCAACGAGTAACTCTCTTGGTGTAAGAAAGTGCCAAACGTTGCATGGGACATAGTTATCCTAAAAATGGATTTGTTGATCTGAAATTCAAATGTGACTGGGCGTCCCGCGTTTTTATTTGCTAAACCCGGCAGCCCTAGGCAAGGGAGGAGGGCCAGTGCCCTCCTTTGCAATGGAACAACCCTGGCTCTGTTACTCTTACGCTGTGTGACGTTTCATGAGTCGCCTCCCCCCTCTGAGCCTCAGTGTCTTCATCAGCAAAAATGATATTATAGCCCTGGCTTCAGAGGTGTTTGTGAGGCTTCTCCGTGCCTGCGCCGGGGAGCATGTGACACGTTAGCCGATACTGTTGGTAGTCAGGAATGCTGTGAAGATGGGGGTCGTTGCCCAGGGCCACCTTAAAGAAAGAGGGGAGAATCCCTTGGTGCCGTAGAGACTGGGAGGCCCTTCTGCAGGGGTGGTGGGAGCCCCCTCCTCAGCTCCCAATACTGTTTAAGTTCCTTCTAAGGGATCGCCCTGGGGAACTCTCCCCTTTTCCAGAGTGGAAAGACTGAGGCTCCATCCGCAGCCTCTGGGTCACCAGGAGCATGCTGGTCTAGAATAACCAGGTACTTGCCCTTGGGCTGGACTTGGCAGTAAGTCCCCTGCAGAGGGCAAAGGGAGGCCATAGCCTCGGGCTCCATGTCTAATCGGGGGTACAGACAACCGGGGCCCTTTCTACGGTCTTCCTGTGACCATGAGGAAGATCACATTCTCGAGGGGAGCGAGGGCCAGAGGGCCTGTGTAGTTCCCAGCTTAGGACCCGGCACATGTGTGAAATACTGAATAAGCCAGATCCCTGTCTTTGACTCAGTATTTCCATCTGAAGAATGGGCAGCCACTCCTGGAGCTCAGAGGCCAGCAAGTTGGTTCAAGCTCTTTCTGGTGACCCCCCCCCCCCCACTCCTAGCCTGACTCCGTTCCCCTCGCCAGGGTCCAGATTTCGGCTACGTGACTCGGGAGCCACAAGACAGGTCCGTGAGCGGCCTGGACTCCTTCGGGAACCTGGAGGTCAGCCCCCCAGTGGTGGCCAATGGGAAAGAGTACCCCTTGGGGAGGATTCTCATCGGGGGCAACCTGCCAGGGTGAGAGAGAGGGGCAGGGAGGGGTGTTCCTGGGGTGGAGGGTAGTGGTGGGGGCTGGGGTGGTGGTGGTGAGGGACCATTCTACGCCTGGGAGAGAACTAGAAACATTCTACTCCCAGGAGAGAACTAGACAGGAGCGATGAAATTCTAGTTCTAGGTGTGGGCTGTTCACCGGACACTGTCCACACTTAACCTTGGGGAGTGTGAGAAGGCCAAAGTGGGCCTAGACCTAAGAGATCATTCAGTCCAGCCTTTTCATTTTGTAAGTGAGCCCAGAGAAGGTGAGTGACCTGGTCCGGGCCACACAGAATGCACAGTTAGGACGTAACTTAGGTTTTCTGATTCTGAAAAGAAATGATATCGTGAATACAATCTACTCATTGCTAGTTATAAAAGAAAAAGCCTCAAGTCTTAACAGTCCTGGAGGTATTATATTTCAAGACCTTGTTCACACTATGGTGTAAATGACTACTCTCAGATATTTTCCTGAGAACAGGAGAAAGAAGGTATAGGACATGGGAAATGAGATGTCATACCACACACAGAGAGAGAATAACAGATGTTTACCATGTGACACAGAGATACTGATGCAAAACAGAGGGCATTGTATGGTAATGGTTATTTGCCATGGAATTGACCAAGACACTGGGCGAACCAACTTCAACATAGCAGTTAGGACAGACTTGAGATCAAATAACAGGTGAATCAAGAGGCTTTGAAGGGGACTAACTGTCCTCAACACGGGATCCCCCAGAAAGAGGAAGTTTGGGCCATGCGACTAGATACTTCTGCAGAAGGCAAAAGAAGAAAGAGGTTGAAGTTCATGAGCATAAAATGCTGGGGCTGTGAGGCCTCTCGGGGTGATCTTGTCCACCTCTCTTCCCTCTGATGTACAGGAAGGTGAGGCCACAGAAAGAGAGACACACATTAAGCTCAAAGAAGAGCTGCCTGGTCACAGGGCGTGGAATAGGGTGGAAATCGGTCTCTTGGAGAATGTGAGGATGGGTCTGAGGGTGGCTTGGAGCATTCGCCTGCATGGCGAGACCCGGTGGGTCACCAACCGGCTGTGACGCTGGCCCCGAGCTGAATGGAAGGGACACATGCGTACTATCTTTCCTGCTTACAAAACAGTGCGTGTTTTCTTGTTAAAAAAAAATCAGATATTGTGGGGCGCCTGGGTGGCTTGGGTTGGCTAAACATCGGCTCTTGGTTTCGGCTCAGGTCATGATCATGCGGTTCATGAGTTCGAGCCCTGAGTCGGGCTCCGTGCTGGCAGCACAGAGTTTGCTTGGGATTCTCTCTCCCTCTCTCTCTGTCCCTCCCCTGCTCTCTCTCTCAAAATAAATAAACTTGAAAAACACTTGAGATATTGCAGAAACCTTGAATTCATGTCATTCCATTTCTGCATAGACTTAAGTTGAACAATTTTTTTTAACCCCTTGGGCCGCAGGTCCAGAGGCCGCCGGGTCACGCAGGTGGTCCGGGACTTCCTCTATGCGCAGAGGGTGCAGTCCCCTGTGGAGCTATTTGTGGACTGGTTGGCCGTGGGCCACGTGGATGAGTTTCTGAGCTTCGTCCCAGCCCCCGATGGGAAGGTGAGGACCGGGGTGACATGCCTGTCCCCGGTGTCCGAGTCAGAGGATGAGCTCCGGGGGTGGGGGGAGGGGTGCCCTGCTGAGCCCAGGGAGCTCAGGCCGGCCTGCCCTCTCCACACAGGGCTTCCGGATGCTTCTGGCCAGTCCTAGTGCCTGCTTCAAGCTCTTCCAGGAAAACCAGAAGTGGGGCCACGGCAGGGCCCTCCTGTTCAAAGGCGTCGTTGGTGAGTACTGGTGCCGTGTCCCTCACCCCGGCCTTCCTGCCCCCTCACCTAAAGCAGGACACGTCATCAGGCTTGAGAGAGGGATGGAAGGTTCTATAGCAGGGCCGCCCCCTAAAACTCAACAGCCTCACTGCCACCGCACGCCTTGCCCCACCTGCGCCCACTGCCCGTGGCTGGGGCTGAGATGTGGCCAGCTTCATGGGCACGTGGCCAGTGTCGTCACCCAGGGCCCTCCCCTCAGAAGGTTTAATGCTCTGCCATCATCGTCTTGACATTCTTAATAATCTGTGCCTTGTGGGGGAACCCTCCTGCTGCCTCCCAGGGATGAGACCCCCTGTACCCCCCATTCCCTGGGCCCCCAGCCTACCAGGGCTCCCCCTCCCTGCCCCTGCTCACTGACTGCTGCAGCAGGAGCCTGGGCATGGGGAGGCCTGGGCGCATGTGCCCCTTAGCATCTGTGAGGGGGCTGCTGGCATTAACTGTCCCTGTCCTGGATGAACAGGGTCACAGGGGATGTGGTGGGCAGCTCGCAAGGGGTGCGGGGCTGCGGTGGCCCTTGGAGATCACCTGTTTGCCGTGGCTCGGGATGGTGGGCCTGTGGGAAGGGGAGATGTCCGGCCCCGTGTGGGTTCTGTGGCTTGCAGGCTGGGGTGGGCGGCAGCTGGTGGGCCGTGCCCATGCGTCAAGTTCCAGGTGGGGCTCCCCGTGCTGCTGGGAGGGTCTCTGCTCACCACACAGGTGTCCCATGACGGGGGGGCAGCGACATCAGAGAGCAAGTAAAAACCCAACATGATAGGGCAGGAGGGAGACTGTGGAGGAAAGAAAAAGCTCTCTATTTTATTTATTTTTATTTATTTATTTATTTATTTTTTTGTGGTGCAAATGGCCTTCTTTGATTTAATGTTGTTTACTTCATTTAAATTTTTTTAAATTTTGAAATAATTTCAGACATTTAGAAAGGTTGCAAAAATAGTACATAGGAACCCTTACCTATATGTAACTAGATACCCCAAATGTTAAAGTTTTACATTTTATCATTCTATATATGAGTCTAATCTAAAGACCCTATTTGTTTCAACCATTGTCCCAACAGTGTCCTTTGTAGCAAAACATTTGTTTTCTGACCCAGAATCCCACACTGTATTTTGTGCTCATATGTCTAATCTAGTTTTCAAAAATCTGAAACAGCTTCTCAGTCTTTTATTCCATGACTTTCACATCCTCCAATTTGGGTATGGAATGTCCCAACATTTGGGTCTGTCCAGTGATGCCTCATGATTAGAGTCATTGTACATTTCTAGCAGGGATACAACAGAAGTGATGATCTGTGCCCAATCCCAAATACCAGGGGACACAGGTTGTTTACTGGTCTATAGGTGGGCTAGTCACTGTTGATGCTCATTTTTTTTTTTTTTAAGGAATATTTATTTATTTATTTATTTATTTTTATTTTTTTTACAAATAGTTTATTGTCAAATTAGTTTCTACATAACACTCAGTGCTCATCCCCAAAGTGCCCTCCTCCATGCCCATCCCCCCCTCCCCCCCCCATCCATCAGTCCTCAGTTTTTGTCAGCATTCAAGAGTCTCTCATGGTTTGCCTCTCTCCCTTTCCCCCACCATTTCCGCCCTTCTTCTCCCCCTTGTTCCTCCGTCAAGTTCCTCCTAATCCTCCTATACGTGCAAACATATGATATTTGTCCTTCTCTGCCTGACTTATTTCGCTCAGCATAACACCCTCAAGGTCCATCCATGTTGCTACACGTGGCCAGATTTCATTGTTTCTCATTGCCATGTAGTATTCCATGGTATAGATAAACCACATCTTCTTGATCCATTCATCTGTTGATGGACACTTAGGCTCTTTCCATGTTTTAGCTATTGTGGAGAGTGCTGCTATGAACATTGGGGTACATGTGCTCCTATGCCTCAGCATTTCTGTATCCCTTGGGTAAATTCCTAGCAGTGCTATTGCTGGGTCATAGGGGAGTTCTATTGTTAGTTTCCTGAGGAACCTCCACACTGTTTTCCAGAGGGGCTGTACCAGTTTACATTCCCACCAACAGTGTAGGAGGGTGCCCGTTTCTCCACATCCTCGCCAGCATCTAGAGTTCTCTGATTTGCTCATTTTAGCCACTCTGACTGGCGTGAGGTGGTATCTCAGTGTGGTTTTGATTTGTATTTCCCTGATGAGGAGGGATGCTGAGCATCGTTTCATGTGTCTGTTGGCCATCTGGATGTCCTCTTTGGAGAAGTGTCTGTTCATGTCTTCTGCCCATTTCTTCACTGGGTTGTTTGTTTTTCGGGCGTGTAGTTTGGTGAGTTCCTTATAGATTCTGGATATTAACCCTTTATCTGATATGTCATTTGCAACTATCTTTTCCCATTCCGTTGGTTGCCTATTAATTTTCTGGGTTGTTTCCTTGGCTGTGCAGAAGCTTTTAATCTTTATGAGGTCCCAACAGTTTATTTTTGCTCTTGATTCCCTTGCTTTTGGGGATGTGTCAAGTAAGAAGTTGCTGCGGTGGAGGTCAAGGAGGTTGTTTCCTCCTTTCTCCTCTAAGGTGTTGATAGTTTCCTGTCTCACGTTCAGGTCCTTTATCCATTTTGAGTTTATTTTTGTGCATGGTGTGAGAAAATGATCTAGTTTCATTCTTCTGCATGTTGCTGTCCAATTCTCCCAACACCATCTGTTAAAGAGGCTGTCTTTTTTCCATTGGATATTCTTTCCTGCTTTGTCAAAGATCAGTTGGCTGTATACTTTTGGGTCCACTTCTGAGTTCTCAATTCTGTTCCATTGGTCTATGTGTCTGTTTTTGTGCCAATACCATACTGTCTTGAGGATGACAGCTTTGTAGTAGAGGCTGAAGTCTGGGATGGTGATACCTCCCGTTTTCGTTTTATTTTTCAGTATTACTTTGGCTATTCGGGGTCTTTTGTGGTTCCATACAAATTTTTGGATAGTTTGTTCTAGTTTTGAGAAGTATGCTGGTGCAATTTTGATTGGAATTGCATTGAATGTGTAGAGTGAAAAGCTCTCTATTGTAGCACCTTTAGTGATATTTTTTTCCCTTGCTCTTTGAGCAAAGGGCCCCACATTTTCACTTTGCTTAGAAGGAATTCTGAGAAAGCCTGCTGGCAGGTGCCGGAACGGATGGGCAAGCTGGTTGGAATGGCTCAAATTCTATCCCCACCAAGACTGCGTGGCTCTGAGGGGGTCCTTTCTCTCTGATTGGGACCCTGGGGGTCTCAGGGCAAAAACCTTTAGCTGGGAGGGAGGGGGAAGATCATAGATTTTCTTGACCTCATGGGAGGTAAATGATATCCTGGCCCAAACCCACCTCTGAGAGAAAAGCTCCTGCAGAACTCAGAAGCGCTCAGGTAGACCTTTCCAGGCCTTTCTTCCCATTTTATGATCCTCCTCCCTTCTCAGCCCCGCCCTGGAGCCCCAGCCGTAAGATGAAGGAAATAGTCTTCCCAGCTCCATAGTTCCCATAGGGACCATGGCTAAATGCCTTTGAGCCCAGACCAAACCTCAAGAGCCTCAAATCCAGATGTTACGCACCAGGTGGAGGCAAAGCCATCCTCACCTCTCCTGGAAGAGCCACACTGACCGTGAACATGACCCAGGTGCAGGCCGAGTGGTTATCCCAGCCGCCCAGATAGGAAGGAGACTGCAGGCATTCACAGCCGTCAGGCCACACGTAGCCACCATGCTGCCCCAGACACGTGGAGCAGTGACCACGGAGGCCCAGCACAACTCACTAGTCACCTCCTGTGTGCCATGCCCCAGGCCACGATCCATGCCCATCACCCCATGGACTTCCCAGATTACCGTCCCCTCCTGTTACCTACCCAAGAACACGGGAGAGTCGGGAAGGTCATGGGCCCAGGGGGGATCAGCAAGAACGCCACGGAGCTGGGGCTGGACCCCAGCTGGCTGACCCCTACCGGGATGGAGGGGATGCGAGGCTGGAGGTAGGCACATGGGTCCAGAGAGCCCTCTCTTTCCCCTGGGGCAAGGCTTGCAGCCTTTGTGAGCACTGGCTGGGCTCGGGTTTGAATCACAAGCCCCCTGTTTCCTAGCTGTGAGATCTTGGGGCAGGATTTTTTGGTTCTCCGAGCCTGAATTTTGTCATCTGTAATAATGCACACCTGTGCGGGGGGTGGGGTCATGGTGAGGGTTACATGATGTGTTGACTGTAGAGAACTGAACTCAGGGTCTCTGCACCCGGACACGAGCTTGTTGGCAGCTGTGAGGGCTGTGAGCCCGTGGCTCTACCCTCCCTTCCCTGGGCGGCCCCATCTCTGTCAAGCAGGCAGGGAGAACTGGCCTCCATCGAGCCGCTTTGCCACGCAGTCACCTCATGGAGGGCGGGGACAGGGCCCAGTGGTGTCTGTCAGGGCTGGCACTGAGGGGCAGGTGGGTGACCCAGCTCACTACCGTCCCTAGGCAAGAGTCACCACCTAGGGCCCTGGAATGGGCTGATGTTTCCAGCGAAAGTCATCACCACTTCCCATGCACTCAGATAAAGGGCTAAAGTGCACAGTGCTGCGGTCACCTGTCCCTCCCCGCCTCCCTCCCACACCCCGGCTTGCACAGTGGTCCGGCTGAGCTCTGCTGGGAGGTGCCTACCTAGTGTCCAGAAAGACCAGAGAGCTAGTAACTCACAAGACTGGTAGCTGTGAACTTGGCCTCTGCCTGGCTGCCTCCCAGAGCAGGTGACTCTCGCTGCTGACGTTGTTCCTGCCCCTCCTCTAATGTCTGTCTCTCCCTCACAGGTGATAAGCAGGTCAACACCGTCTCCATCAACCAGGTCCTCTCCAATGTAAACCTCATCAGCTACAATAAGTTTGTGCAGGTACAGGGCCAGGGGCTGTGAGCGGAAGGTGGGCATGGCTGGGGACAGTGACAGGGACAGAATCTGAGGCTCAGTGTCCGTGAAAGCCCAGGCTGGAACTGGCCCAGTGAGAGGGGCTCCAATCCCTCCTCTGACCCTGGAGAAATGAGGGGGAAGCCCGGAGAAATGAGGACGACATGTATTCAGACAGAGGGAACAGCCCAGACGATGGCCCTGAGGTAGAATGAAGGGGCGTGGACTATTTGGGGAGGAGCCAGGGGGTTGTGGATGAGGGAGGGCCGCATCATCAAGTGATGGAGGGCATTGCAAGGACTTTGGCTATGGCTTTGAGATATGGGGCCACTGGGGGGTTTGGGCCGAGCAGGGACCTGATCTGATTTATGCTTTGAAAGGATCTCTCTGCTGCTGTGTTGAGAAAATAGCAACATTTCATAGCAGGGGTGGCGGTGGTGACATCGGATCCCGGCAGGAAACACGTCAAGCTGGATAACTGTGGAATAGCTTTACCAAGGGAATATTTACAGAGGCACAGACAGGATTGGAGGAAGTGAGTAGGGGACAGTGCAGTGTCCCCAGGCTGAGGGGAGCTGTGGGGACACCTAGACCTGAAAGAATTGGTGGGGGGATCATGTGACTGGAACTTGGAGGGGTCACCATGGAAAGAAGGCTGTGAGACAGGAGCTGCGGCCGTCCTGGCCAGACCACAGTGACCTGGCAGTGAGGCAGCCACAGGAACAAATACCCCAATGCACTCTACTGCCACCCCACCCACTGTCAGTGCCCCACTGGCCAAACCTGATCAGAAGCCAGAGGGCAGAGGAACCCCTGATTGCCAAGGACCAGCCTCCCAAGGGACAGAGCAGGGGTGAAGGGTATGTAAGGTTTCTGGAAGGACAAACAATACCCGACACACTCTCTTCTAAGAAGCAAATGTCAAGACGGGGTTCGATGTGCAGGGATCCTATTAGGGACAATGCCTGTCCCCGAGAAAGGGGAAGGGAGCTGGAGGGAACTGGGAAAGCAGACCCTGAGTGGAGGCGGGGGGTGGTGGGGGTGGGGGAGGGAAGCAAGGCTGAGGGGGGCATCCTGTACCACCATGCAGTCCCAGGCCAAGTTCAGCAAAGCTTTGGGGGATTCCGCAAGCCGCTGGAGGCCAGCAGAGGAGTCCCCTGTCTCCCAGAAGTAGGTCTGCCTCAGTGTCGCCATTGGCTGTTAGCAACTGAGGGGGAGGTGTGGCCTCGGGCGGGAACTAAAGAAGGATTTCAGAAGGGCAGCAAGACCTTTGGGCAAGTCTATTACCACAGCTGGAGGTCATTATCATGGCTGCCACATGGCCCAAAAGCAGAAGCAGCAAGGAGACCGGTTAGGAAGGTGCTGTTGTCAACCAGGCTGGAGGGGATGGCTGTCACCAGGTGGATGCAGAGGAGGTGACGGGAAGAGGTCACACTGGGGATAGATCTTAGAGGTGGAGCTCAAGGCACCTGCTGAAGGTGGGTGTAAACGGAGGGGAAAGGAGTCACCGGCATGAAAGCCCGTCTTCCAGCTGCGCGAGCGGCTGGCTGTGTTGACAGAGCCAGAGGAGCCTAGGGGAGGAGCCTGGGGGAGGAGTCTGGGAGGGAGGTGGGCAGTGGTGGGGTGGGGTGGGGTGGGGTGGGTAGAAATGAAGAGTTTGTCTTTGGATGTGTTCTGTCTGGTGTTCTAGCTGATGTCCCTGATTAGACATCAGGTGAAGATGTCAGGTGGTGCTTATATGTGTAAATCTGAGTTCCGGAAAGAGGGTGGGCTCTATAAAGCAGCTGGGATGTAGACATTTGGGTTGTCTGTGTCCTGATGATATTTTAAAGCATGAGATTGAAGGAGAACCCCTAAAGAGTGAAGGATCTAGAGAAGACAGGAGGGCCAGAGATGGAACGCTCTGGAGCGCTCTCAAAGACAGAACACTCTGGAAAACTCCGGAGCTGGCCCAGTTCGTGGGCTGGGACTGTGAGGGTGGGACCCAGGACAGGTACATTTTGACCAAGGGACACAGAGCTAAGGTGCGTGTGGAGAGCTGGTCCGTGGGCACTTGGGCAGCCCGTCTCCTTAACCAGACATGACCTCTCGGGTCCCCCCGATGCATACTGGCAAGGCCTCTCCAACTCTACTCACCCCCCTCAGAGCTGCATCGACTGGAACCGGGAGGTGCTGAAGCGGGAGCTGGGCCTGACCGAGCAAGACATCGTGGACATCCCCCAGCTCTTCAAGACTGAGAGGAGAAAGGCAGTGGCCTTCTTCCCTGACTTGGTGAGGCCCCTGTTCGTGAGTTATATCCGTTTCCTCGGATTAGGCTCCAAGCTTCTGCTCCCCTGAGGGGCAAGCCATTTGGTTGCTGCCAACGTTTGGGATTAGGGTGGCTGGTGGGGGTGGCAGAGAGAATCAGGGGTCCCATGACGGGTCCCAGAAGGGCTTCTAGTTGGCTGACTGTCCTGTCCACTATGGAATGCTCACCAGCCAAGCCCTTTGCTCAAGGGCCATCAGGGAGGGGCCCTTCCCTTCCCCCCTGGGACCCCCATATTTGTGGAGTGAACCAACCATCACATGAGGTCATGTGTGCACAGCACGCGGAAGTATCAGCTGAGAGCTCAGACGTCCCTTGTGCTTCCTCTCTCAGCCTGCAGCTGTACCCCCTCCCCCATGTATTTAGGGTACACTGTTCGAGATACAGATGTGATTAAGGCTGCTCCCTGCTTTCAAGGAGGGAGTCTGCTCTAGTGGTAGAAATTCTCTCCACCTCTCTTAGAGTGTGTCCCAATGACCTCTTTTGTATAAGAAAGTCAAGTGGCAGTTGAGAGGTGGGACAAAGCACTGAGAGGTAGGACTGGCAATCTAAGAAGGCTTCCTGGAAGAAGTGGTCTTTGGTTGAGTCCTGAGGGCTTTGCCTCTGGAATAGGCGGACTGCTGGGGCCCCACCCCATGCATTCTGATTGAGCAGGTCTGAGGAGGGCCGGAGACACTGCTGCTCCTCTAACCAGCACCCAGGAGGCGCTCAGGCTGCTCTCCGGGGGCGCACTTTGAGTATCCTGGCTGTAGATGACCCAGCTCCCCTCCCCTCCCGTCTTGTCCCTCCCCTCCTCCAGCCCCTATCCACCTCCACGCCCCATAGAGGAACTCAACACAGGAGGCCTGTCCACACCACCCTTGCTACATCCCCCCATTTCCCTTCCCCTTTCCGGCTGATCTTTTGCCCTCCTCGATTTCCCCATTTGCAAAACTCGGCTTCCCCTCCTCTCATGTTTAAGGCGGCCTTGCAATTAGGTAAGTGCCTCCAGTGTTTGCAAGAAATGGGGCGGCTGGAGGCGGGTTCAGCCAGAGCAGGAGGGCTAATGGAATGATGCCATGAAAGCGAGGGCAGGGAGGGCTACGGTGCCGGCTGCAGGAGGGCCTGGGACCATCTCTTATCTCTGCGTCTTCATCATCCGCTCCCTCGCCCTTCCCTCGCCCTTCCCTTGCCCCCCCAGCTTGGCTTCCTGTGCGTCTCTGTGCCTGGGGAGGAATAGAAAGAGACACACACATGATAGAGACATAGGCAGCGCTCTACCCGGCCTTCCCGCTCCGTCAAGTTCAAATACCAGAGGGAGAGAATCTGATTGGTCCAGCGCGGGTCAGATGTCTGCCCTGGTCCAATCAGCTCCAACCTAGGAAGTGGCGCTTCTCCCGCACAAACATGGCGGCCGCCGCAACCCACCGTCAAGGAGCGCGGTCGCTGGGGAAGTAGGCGCCCCTGCGAGCTCTGCAGTCGCTCCCTTGGCACCGCACAGCTGGCTAGAGTTCTCACCCGCCCCGGTGCCTCTCCCCGGGCATGCAAGCGCGAGGAGCCGTTTCCAGGGTCACCCGGAGACAGGAGCAGGTCCGGCTGGGTGTGGTGCGGGTGTTGACGTGGAGCTGATGAGGTGCCGCCCCTGACCCGGGACCCCGCGTCTTCGCAGGTGAACATGCTGGTGCTGGGCAAGCACCTGGGCATCCCTAAGCCCTTCGGGCCCATCATCAACGGCCGCTGCTGCCTGGAGGAGAAGGTGCGGTCCCTGCTGGAGCCGCTGGGCCTCCACTGCACCTTCATCGACGACTTCACCCCGTACCACATGCTGCACGGGGAGGTGCACTGCGGCACCAACGTGCGCCGGCAGCCCTTCTCCTTCAAGTGGTGGAACATGGTGCCCTGAGCCCATCCCCCCCCCATTGTCTTCTCCCCCTGGGGCGGGACATCGGTGGGACCCTGAACATGAAGCATCAAGACACCCCAAGGCTCCAGATAGCACACTGAGGGTGACTGCCTCTCTCAGAAGCCTTTTCCCTGGAAGTGTTCACACCTCACTTGTAACCCATTTGGTTTTCAGGCCTGATTCTTGTGGGCCTCTCCAGAAGAAAGTCGTCATTTCTTGAAAGCCTCTCATGTGGCTCAACAGAACCCATGGGGACTCCTCCAAACGTACCCCTTCTCACCCCCAAATCCTCTGTTTGAGATCCAATTTACCTTGGGGTCTAGAAACATCCATGGGTCTCCTCTGCCATCTTGACCTGTGTGTCCTAAGGGAGGAAGGACCCACAATTCTGCTTTGGTGTGATTTGCCTTTTACTCTGCAGGGGAGCACCCCTAAAGTCAGATCCCTCCACCCAGGAGAGAGTCTACCCATAGCTTCCCCCAGAGGGAAGGAGGTGGGGCCCACTTAGATCAAGGTTGGATCATCAGTCTACCTGCCAAGCTTCTGACCAGATGCTGAGCTCTACACGCAGTGCCCAACGTGAGCATTCACATAGCTGGTCCTTTCCGGATGTGTGTTGAAGGAATGCTTGTCAGCCCTTAGCCTTATAAGTGCCCCACCATCTGAATTCAGAAATCTGGCTTTGTCCAAAAACCTCCTGGAATTTCTTGGAAATGAGAGAATGTGTCAGGGGCACCTGGCTGGCTTAGTCTGTGGAGCGTGTGACTCTTGATCTTGGGGTTGTGGCTTTGAGCCCCACGTTGGGTGTAAATATTACTTAAAAATTAAAAAAAAAAAAAAAAGGAAAGTATGTTGGGAATTCCTGGAGATTGGGAAGCCTGAAAGGGCAGGGGTGAGAGATGTCCTTCACAAGGCATCAGCTGCTTCCTTGGCCCTGAACCTCTCTCTGCAGGAGGGGAGACTCCTGGCAAAATTGGTCCTGGCCTTTCTGTTGCCCTCTGGTCAGCATTCCCATGTCCTGCTGTGACTCAGAAGAGGGGGCCCAAAGCGGCAGAGCCACCAACACAGCTCACAGCGGGACGACTCTGAGCGCAAGGGGAGGGGTGGTGGTGGAGGAGGTTTTCTCCAGATGTGTGCCAGCTGCACACGTGTTCCCTATGGGTCTGGCTGGGTTTCTACCACTGGCTAATAAATCTACAACAACATGAATGGTTTGAGTCCAATTTGGGTCCTTTGGGATTAGAGTGTGACGGTAAGAACAGAGAAGTTCCTTGCAGCTGGAGCATTTGCTTGCCTGGCCCCGGAAGCATTTGGGGTGGACAGGCCCTAAATTTTGGTAAGATGGTGAGTTTGCTCCGTCTTGGCCACAGGATGAGTTAGGGCTGCCGCGGACAGTTGGGGTTATCTAGCCACATGCATGCAAGCCTACGGGTCAAGTGCTAGGTTGCCAGGGCCTTGTGAGTGTGCAGGGCAGGGGTCTGGGCTGTGGCCGGAAGGTTGCATTGTGAGTGTGGCAATGGGGGGAGCCGAGGTGCGTGCAGAGCATGGGACGCCTGCAGTGTGCCCTTACTGGCGTCCTTCCTACTGACAGGAGGCTGCAGGAGCCCCATAAAAGGCCAAGTGGACTTGCCCCAGAGCCCCAGGAAATGACTTCCTCTGCTCAGCACCCTTCCAACCCCCACCAAGGGGCAGAACAGAAACACACCCAGGCTGGCCCCGGGGCTGGTGAGAGAAGGTGCTACAGCCTCTCCCCTGCAAACCCCCTCTTGAAATCTCCTCCTTAGAATCTCTCGAACAGACTCCCAGTGCCCCTCCGTGGCCGGGTTTTATCAGAACAAGCCCCCCTTCCAAGGGGAATTGGCACAGATGCTGCTGCTGAGAAAATCCTATTTTTTAAAAGGTGGGAATGTGGCTTTTCTAGAAGGCAAGTGCTTAAAACTGGGAGAACTGGGATGAATTTGCAAGCAGGCTTTTCTCACCACCAGCCCCCCTGCCACCCCCTCTCCCTCAGGCTGGACACAAGAGAAAGCCCTGGATGCTGGTGTCTTTGAGGGGTGGAGGTATTATTCTGCCTACTGCAGCCAGCCAGCCCCCCCACCCCAACCCCCTAGCTGGGCTTCCTGGCCTCCACGAGCTGGGCCACACAAGTCCCCTCTGAAATCCAGCTCCGCTGCTCCGTGAGTGTAATGGGGTCAGCAGGAGACAGATGTTACCTGTGGACCCTCCCTTCAGGGCCGGTGCTCAGTCCTGGACCATTGGGGGCAGTAGGCTGAGACTCAGGATCCCATGAGTTCAGGCTGCTGGCTCGTAAGAGCACCGGGAGTTGCTTCATCAAGCCTGATGACCAGCGCCCCCCCGCCCAGCCCCCAACAGCTGCCTGCGCTGCACTGCGTGCTCCCTTCCAGGGTCTGGTTCCCAGCCCCGGAACCCCCCAGGAGGACCAGGCCGTCTCCCCCATACCACACTATGGCTTCTCCAACACAGATGTTAGCCTTGACCCTGGGAAGGTCAGGTTGGGTGCCCTAAAGGAGGCTGGAGGCTGCTAGGTTGGGCCAGTTATTTATACCCCAGCAAAAGCTTTTCCAGCACCCTCTGTATCCCTCATTCCTTCATTCAAAATCGATTTGATGGGTATCCACTGTTTGCCAGGCAAAATCTCTAACCTCGGGAGTTTACATCTAGGGAAGCAGCAAGTAAGGGGACAGAGAGCACTAGAAATTATGGCGAGCGCCATGGAGCGGATCACGAGGAGCAGAGCAGAGAGGTGGGGTCTGCTTTTGCAGGGTGACAGACTCCTCCCGGCAGGGGAGATATTTGGGCTGAGGCTGAAGAATGTCACAGGTGGGCCAGCGAGGGCTTCCAGGCACGGGGACAGGACGGAGCCTGGAGGTAGGGAGGGGAGAGGGTCCGTGGCATAGCAGGACAAAAAGAAGGCCAGGACAGGGTAAGGGGTATGGAGGGGGTGAGTGAGGAAGAGTTTTCCCAGAACCCTACTGCACCCGTCTCAGAGCACACTGCCCTTCCCCCCCGCCCCCCTCCCCAGGGTCTGACCTGGGCATAGACAGGATAGGGGAAGAGTGTGTCCAGACGCCCTGCGCCAGTGGAAAGGCCAGGTGCCTCGGAGTCAGACAATCCGATGCTGCACTTGTACTTTGTAGCTCTGAACCTCTCTGAGTCTGTTTCCTTCTCTGTAAAATGGGCTGATGATTGTGCGTAATGATCGGAGAGTTTACTCGCAGTTTCGGTGGGACGCTCAGCAGCACGCCTCCGGGCACGTAGTAGGTGCTCAATAAATACTGCCTGTTGTTAACACCCCCAGACTCTGCTCAAGCCATGCTGTGTACGAGCTCCTGAATCCTGCCTTCTGCTCAGGGATGGAGACCCTTAAAGACCCCGAGGTCAGATTTGCGAGGAAGGGCCAGGCGGGCTGTCCCAGCAACTCTTCCCGTGATGTCCTCCTCCCCCCAGCTGCGTGAGAGGAGGCTCCGGCCCAGACGGGATGCAAGGGCCTGCCTTTCCTGTGGGAACTGGCAACTCTGGGTGGCCCTGGACCCGCCTGACTCGTGCTTTATTCAGAGTTAGAAATAAGTCACCGCAGGACCTTGGCAGGAGCTCACCCAACTCTGTGGTCTCCATCACCTTTGCCGGCAGCGCCGGAGGACGCGGCGTCAGGCTGGGGCTCCGGGATGGCCCGGAAGGAATTCTGGTCACCAGGGTGCGGTCAGTAACAGCCACCGTTTCCTACGAAGTCAGCGTGTGGTGCGTCCCCCGCAGCTTAATGACGGTGAGAGTCAGCCACGCGCCAGCAGGTGCCACGCACCTGCCACAGTAGTTGCTATTATTACCCTCGCTTTCTAGGCAAGGAAACGGAGGCACTGAGAAATGAAGGAACTTGCCCCTTTGATGGGGAAGACAGGTTTGAGCGCAGACAGGTGCCTCCATGGCCTGGGTTCCTACGCAGCCAGGGCACAGGTCCTCGCCCCGTCTGCACGTTCGAGTCTCTGGGGAGGCTGGGAACTAGCAGCGCAGAGTCTCCGCCCGTGGAAGGTCTGTCTGGACGCCGGGATGCTGCGCAAAGCTGCCTGGTGATTCTGACACGCGGCCAGAGCACAGCATCAGTGACCCAGACCACGTCGCCTTCCTAAGCCCCGCCCCCTGCCTGGCACCCCCTCCACCGCCTATAACCAGCAAGTTTGATGGGGCGCCTGGGTGGCTTAGTCGGTTAAGCGTCCGACTTTCGCTTAGGTCATGATCTCACAGTTCGTGGGTTCGGGCCCCGCGTCGGGCTCTGTGCTGACTGCCAGCTCAGAGCCTGGAGCCTCTTTCAGAGTCTGTGTCTTCCTCTCTCTCTGACCCTCCCCTGCTCACGCTGTCTCTCTCTCTCTCCTAGAAATAAATAAAAAAAACATTAAAAATTAAAAAAAAAATCCAGCAAGTTTGGGGGGCTGTGGGGTCCCACACTCCTCAGGCTGTGGTGGCTCCTCCAGCAACCAGACGGTTTCACCCACATTCAAATTTTCTTGCAAGGCCAGTGGCTCTGAGAATGCACACAGGATTTCCCGCAAGAGTCACTAAAAATACAGATTTCTGGGCACCCCCACCCGCTGGGCCAGGCTTCCCGAGCCAAATCCCCGGGCCCAGCTCCCTGGATGTTGTAAAGCTTCCCAGTTGGTCCTGATGCTTCTGGGTTATTCCAGCTATTTCCTGTTGATCATGGCAAAGCATCTGGACATAGTGTGAACATTCATCAAGAGGGGGGTCTTTGGACGCTATTTTTTTTTTTTAATTTGAGAGAGAGAGAGAATGTGAGTGGGGAGAGGGGCAGAGGGAGAGAGAGAGAATCTTAAACAGGCTCCAGACTCAGCATGGAGCCCGACGCAGGGCTCGATTCCACGACCCTGGGATCATGACCTGAGCTAAAATCCAGAGTCAGATGCTCAACCAACTGAGCCACCCGGGCGCCAAGAGGGTGTCTCTGAATTCTGCTGTAGTCTACACTGGGGACTGTTATAGTGTCATTTAACAAGAATAAATGGGAATGATCCCAACTGACTTGGAGGGGCTCCCACAAGGCAGTGAGTGAGAAACACAAGACACAATATAGGGCGCACAGTATGTTGTCCACAGGGGCGCCCTCAAAAGTGCCCCCTCTGTGTGTGTGTGCACGTGTGTGCGTGCATTGCTTTGTGATGATACAACCATGGAGAAAGTACAGACGGACACACGCTACATGGTAACGTGGGCAGGGCGGGGAGGAGAAAGGAGCCCAGCAGGTACATAAAAAAGACACTAAGAGGGGGTGGCTCAGTCGGTTGAGTGGCTCAGTCGGTTGAGTGACCAACGCTTGGTTTCAGCTCAGGTCATGATCTCACGGTTTGGGGGTTCGAGCTCCGGGTCAGGCTCTGCGTGTTCTGTCAGCGTGGAGGCTGCTTGGGCTTTCCCTCTCCCTCACTCTTTCTGTCTCTCAAAACAAACAAACAAACCTTTTTTTAAAAGTGCCCATTTAATAAAAAATAGGAGGCTGCTTGGGATTTCTCTCTCTCTCTGTCTTTCTCTGTATAAATAAACAAACCAACAAACCTTTAAAAAATATGCTCATTTAAAAAAAATACACTAAGAGGTGGTTGTGATTTGACTACAAGTGTGATTTGTTTCTTATAATTACACATGGGGTATGTGTGTATAAAAGCATTTTTTGGGGAGGGGGTTTGGTTGTTTTGTTTTGTTTTTAGTGAAAATGAGCTGTGCTTTTTGGGCCAAAGACTGTGGCCACACT